TACTGTTAGTTTTGCCTTAGTCTTCATTTTTCTCATGTACACAATGAGGAAGTTTATTTTTAAAACTCTTCAACCTCTAAAACGTGAAATGGAAGTCTACAGTTCAAAGGCAAAATATTATATCCTATTATTGTTAATAGTGCCAGATTCGTAGAATTGATGTGTAGAGTGAGACATTGCATGGAAAGCACTTATCACATTACCTGGAAATTTTAAGCACTCAGTAGGACTAATGATTAATCATAATGATGACACATGAAGGAAGTGCCAGCAACCAGTCAAGTTCCTAATTCTCGTGGACATAAATTCCATCTCTCAAATTCCTGGAGACGCTTGAATGAAAGGGACAATATGAAGAACTGTGAAAGCCTTCTTTACAGGAGTTTCCCATATGATAAGAGAAAAGTAACAACGATGGTGACGATAAAGTAGATAGATATATCACACCTCCCAAAGGAATAATCAGCTGAATATATGCATTGGAAAGCACAGACTTTAGATCTGACACCAGCTCCATAGATTAAGTGCTTTGAGATATGACTAATAGTATCCAACATGGTATATCTAGGTAATTTGATTTATTTAGGGAACTTACTACCTCTAAAAACTAAATATAGGTTCTTGAAGGCTTACAACCTTTATACTTCTATATAGGATTATAAAGCTTAAATATAAACTTCATATTTGACCTTTAATAGAGTCCTCAGATATTAAAGGATATATGACTCTTTTAGAAGACAAGAAGAAGAAAGAATATACATGCATATCTCCCTCCTCACTCCATGCTGTTTCAATACTGTCAGTCATATGCTTAAAAAAGTCATCTCAGTGAGGCAAGCTTATAAACTAGAAAGATGACAATTATTACAAAGTGATGACAACTGAGGGGTAATTTCCTGAACTTTGTCATGGACAGAGGTACTGTGGCCTCGCCGATTACTAAAGCCTTTGCTAAAGCCCACAGAAAGGAGAGGGAGGTGCAGATAGAGCATAAGCTGAAGATGAGGCTGGAAAGCAGGAAAGGCCGAGCAGAGGGGAGGATGCTTAAATCACCAAATCCGAACATCACAGATGATCTGCTATTAAATAGATGTCACATAAAGGATTCTGAAGCTTCAGCTAGCACACAATGTTGGTATGTTGGTTGAGTCTTTAAAGTAAGTTTGTTACATACTGCAGATAGGACATGCTCTAGATAAACTTCAGCTGATTATGTTACAAGAGTAATGGCTGAATCTGTATATTCTTGATTGCTTAGCCCAGTGGATCAGAGCAGTGGTCATAAAATATGATCAATGTCCCTTCAAAATAAGGGTCACAGATCACAGGTGATCTTCAGCCTGGCCAGACTGTAAAGACAGAACATACTTCCGTGGTGTTGAGTTTCTCAGAAACAAAGAGGAAGGGGCTACTTTCATTCTGATTGAATTTACAGTAACATCAATCCAACAACAGAAATTTGGAGAGTGAGAAAAACCAGATTATGTTGTCTCAGAAGCATTCTGTGTGAAGGGAGCCAATCTAATGGCATGGGAAAGAAGATTCGGTACAAAGAGCAGAGTCTTTCTCCTCCCCATTGTGCACCTGGGGTTCCCACTCTTATCTCTTCTTCCTCTTAACTCCCAACAGTGAGTCTAGGGACTCACTGTTATCACTACTTCCTCTTTCTCCCTCTTTCTCAACCCTCTCCTTCTCCAAACATTATGTGCTGCACAAAAGTAGTGTGTGGATAACAGTGGAGTAGGTCAAGGGGAACTATCCTCCCTGACGTTTCTTAATGGTAGAGAACAGATGTGGTAGAAATTCCGGGGGAGTTTTGACTCTAATTCACAGAGGAAATGTTCTGAAACTCTCAGTGTACAATGTGGCAGACCTGTCTGAACACGATGGTTTTGATTTCATACGGCAGTTACCTTGCTCTGTACAGTGGCCACCAGCTGGATCTTTAGCTTCACTCAACTTCTTGGAAAATGCATGTCACTGTTCACAAAGAGAACGAGAACAGTGAGGAAATGTATCACCTATCCTGGTAACTAAAAAAGCCCAAACCAAACCCAAACCCAAAACAAACCTCAAAGAATGTTGGGATGGTAGTTGAGTGAGTTGTGTTGCCTTTGGAGACGAAGATGAACACATCTTTACTTTTGCAAATAAAGCAAGAATGTCAACTACCCAGTGGATGTGGGAACAGCGAGCCCATTCTGGTAATTTCAGGGAGGCTCTTTCAGTACTTGGCCTTAAATTCTTGGATCGTTCTACCGTTTTTCACATCTAAGAAAAGATGGCTCGATATGTGTGCCTAAGAGAACACCAAAACTAGCAATCTTTTTGGAATAATAAAGGAAAAAAGTAGGCATAATTTCTCTTTCTGTTTTCTTTTTTTTTTAAATGATGAGTCACCTGTTTCAGTTAGGTAGATGGGCTTGGATTTACCGAATAACTGCATATTTTGCTTTACTTGAGGGTTTTGAATCAGGTTTTAAGTTCAGCAAGTATGCTTCATTTGAATTCCTCACTTTTTTTTTTTTTTTAGGATTTTATTTATGTATTTGAGAGAGAGAGAGAGACAGAGCTATCAAGAACACGAGTGTGGGGGAGAGAGGGTGAGGGAGAGGGAGAAGCAGACTCCCCGCTGAGCAGGAAGCCCAACATGGGACTCGATCATGAGATCATGACCTGAGCTGAAGGCAGACACTTAACTGACTGAGCCACCCAGGTGCCCTCTTACAAACTTTTTTTTTTAAAAAGACTTCTTTTTTAGAGCAGTTTCAGGTTTACAATTAAGTTACAGATCTTATGTAAGATTTTACATATGCCCCCTGCCCCCACATATGCAGAGCCTCCCCCATTATCACTATCACTTTGCCAAATAGTACATCTTTTTTTAACCAAAGATGAACTACATTGATTATTCAAAGTCCATAGTTTACCTTAGGGTTCGCTCTTGGTGTTGAACATTCTGTGGATTTGGACAAATGTATGATGATATACATCTATCATTATATCATACAGAGTATTTTCACTGCCCTAAACATCCTCTATGCTCCACTTATTCATATTTCCTTCTTCCTCCACCTGCCAACCTCTAGCAACTACTGATCTCTTTATTGTCTCTATAGTTTTGCCTCTTCCAAAATTAATATAATTGGAATGATATAGTATGAGGTCTTTTCAGAATGGCTCTTTCAGTTAGTAATATGTATTTAAGGTTTCTTCCTGTCTTTTCATAGCTTTATAGCTCATTTCTTTTTAGCACTGAATAATATTCCATTGTCTGGATGTACCACAGTTTATCCATTACCTATTGAAGGACATCTTGGTTTCTTCCAAGCATTGAGAATTGTGAGTAAAGCTGCTATAAATATCTGTGTGCCAGTATTTGTTGGACATATTTTAAACTCTTTTCGGTAAATATAAAGGAGCACAATTACTGGATCGTATAGTAAAAGTATATTTAGTTTTGTAAGAAACTGCCAAATTGTCTTCCAAAATGGCTATGCCATTTTGCATTCCCACCAGCAACATATGGGAGTTCCTGTCACTCCACATTCTCGCTAGCATTTGGTGTTGTCAGTGTTCTGGATTTCGGAATTCTAGTAGATGTGTAGTGATATCTTATTATTGTTTTAATTTGCATCTCCTTGATGACATATGATGTGGAGCATCTTTTTGTATACAGATTTGCCATCTCTATATCTTCATTGATGAGGTGTTTCTTAAGGTCTTCGGCCCATGCTTTCATCAGATTGTTTTCTTCTTGTTGAGTTGTAGGAGTTCTTTGTATATTTTAGTCCTTTATCAGATGTGTTTCTTGCAAATATATTCTCCCAGTCTTTCGCTTGTCTTCTCATTCTCTTGACATTTTCCTTCACAAAGCAGAAGTTTTTAATGAAGTCAATTATCAATTATTTCTTTCATAGATCAGGCCTTTGGTGTTGTACCTAAGAAGTCTTCTTCATATCAGAGGTCATCTAGGTTTTCTCCTATGTTGTCTTCTAGGAGGTTTATAGCTTTGCATTTTACATTTAGGTCTGACCCATTTTGAGTTCATTTTTGTGAAGGGTGTAAAGTCTGTATCTAGATTCACTTTTCTGCATGTGGGTGTTCATTTGTTCTAGCACCATTTGTTAAAAAAACTATCTTAGTTCCATTGTATTGCCTTTGCTTCTTTGTCAAAGATCATTTGACTATATTTATTTGGTCTATTTCTGGGCCCTCCATTGTGTTGTATTGATTTACTTGTCTATTGCTAATACTGTACTGTCTTGATTAGTATAGCTTTATAGTAAGTCTTTAAGTCAGGTAGTATCAGTCCTCCAACTTTGTTTTTCTCCTTCAATATCATGTTGGCTATTCTGGGGCATACATGCTGAAACTGGGAGGTAAAAAGTCTATACATGGATTTGATTTATAAATCATGTCATAGGGACACAAAGTATCTTAGAGACTTAGAGAATTGATGCCTCCCTCTCAGAAAATTTTGAATCACTGTATTTTAGACTCTGGGAGTAAAATAGTTAAAATATCAAAAGGGTAATTTGGGCAGTAATGGGTAGAATAGTACAAGTGGAAAAAAAATGTATCCAAGGGCTCTTTAGATGAGAAAGATGACATGATTCATGTCCTCAAAAACAAATTACACAGAGATAGATAGAGATGATAGATATTGATAGAAAGAAATTGATAGAAAGATAGGTAGACACATATTTTAAGAATCTATTTCTAAATAGAAAAAAGTAAGATTTAAAAAATATATTGGCCACAACTGTTGTGTCTTACATTATTTCTAGTTATTGAAATCACTCAGAGAGTTATACAGTATTATTTTCCTTTACACATGAGTCTCAGAGATGTGAAGTGATTTGTCCAAAACTGGGATTCAAATAAGTCTTTACTTAGCTTCAAAGCTCACCTTCTTTCCACTATGTTTTATATCATAGTTTTTGTGTTTTATCAAATAAAGAATAATTTTCACTAAATTTTTGTGTTTTGTTTACTAGCTCACTATATATGTCCAGCCACAGCAAAAACACACAGCTGAATATGCTGCAAACATAACTAAAATTGTGTTTGATTATTTTGAAGAATACTTTGCTATGGATTATGCTCTTCCTAAATTAGGTGAGACTCATTTTTTATTTTCTTATTTTTAATATTGCCTTTGCTTTTACCTAAGTTAAATTATTTCCTCAAGTTTTCACATTCTTAGTTAATAGCCACCCCTTAGTATTTTTATTATATGCCTAAAATATGTATCTAATATTTGCTAGATGCTGAAAGATGCACTTTGGAGTCCTCCAAGAATAATGTCCCATACTTATTCTGTTCTTACCTGGTAAATGCATAAACTTTTACTTTCAAATAAAGACTAAAGTTAATGTGCAAAACTGCAGGTGTTGATAACAGTGGAGCCAAAAATAGCAACCTAGATTTGTTCATTTCAAAATCATTACCATCGCAATAGCTTACATTACCACCCTACCATCAGTGAGTTGATAAATAGTAGGGATAAATGATGCTATCGGAGTCCCATGTGCTTCTAGTCTTTCCATTGTACAAGACTAATTCTAGATTTTCCAGCAGTTAAAATGAAACACTGATACTCCTTCCATAAATATATTTTTCTAATTGGGGGGAATGTTTTCTTTTTAAAATAAAATTAGGGCTATAATCAAAATGGTGTGGATATGATACTTCTACCAATAGTAGAAGTGCTTTATTAGTAAGCTTGAGTGGTGTTAGCAAAGACTTTAAATGAAACACCCATATAGATGTTCGGAGGGATAAAATGAAGACAACAAGGAAACCAATCAACCCAAAATTGATTTCTCTATTTCTGTTTATGCCTCTACTTTAATAAACTATCAGTGCAAAGTGACTGGGATGCCAGATTCTCTACATAAGAGTGGCTTTGGCTCTGGGCAACTTTGTAGATGCTCCATTTTCTCTTCAATGGCATCAGCTCCCCACTATTAGAGAAAGAGACAGGAAGAGAAACACCTTTTCATCAACATCAGAATAATATTTAATAAAATGTTAGGCACACTAATTTAAAAGTCTATTTTCTCTTTTTCTCACGTGAGTTAATTCATTATAATGTCAATACTCACTAGAGAAATGAGGTCACAAAAAAGTCCTTTCATTCAAGGATTAGGTAAAAATTATACTCCATAATATTATAGAAAATAATGGCCCTTGCGGGGGGGATAATTCTCCACCCTTTAAGTGGTAGTCTTGGGATAAAATAACCTAACCTAAGAATGAAGATAACACAGAAAGGGAACTACTGCTGTAATCTTGACTTTTATTTAAGATATATCCACTTTTCATTCTTCTATAAGAAGCTTTAAGAATCTTTATGTTAACCAGAAAGGACCTTTGCTTATATGTTAGATAAAAATTAAATTTATTTTTATTTATGTACCTCATTTAAATTATATGTAATAATATGGGACACCTGGGTGGTTCAGAAGATTAAGCATCCGACTCATGACCTCAGCTTGAGTCTTGTTCTCAGGGTTGTGAGTTCCAGCTCTGCATTGGGCTCCACTCTGGGAATAAAGCTTACTTTAAAAAAAAATTATATGTAATAATAAAGAAATTACATTTTTATTATAGTTCTTTAGCTGGAGAATCTGTATTCTATCCACTAATCAAGCTCAACATTTCTGTTTGGGATTTAACACAGAACTGATAGGCACTGCCTCTTCCTGTCAGATGTTATATCAAAGATTATAGGGCCAAGCAAAAATAAAGAATAGAAATTCCTGGTAGAATCCAACATTTTAGGTCTGGAAGAGAGTTTAGAAAGAATACAGTCTATTGCATGTTGATTCCAACTTATTTAATGCATGCAAATGGATGGTAACCAGTAAGGAATTGGGTTGATCTCAAGTTGTATAGAAATAGGGAAAAAGTGGAATTTTATATGCTATAATATTCTGCATCCTTGAATAGAAATATATTCCTGTGCACTTGGAAGCTGTGTACTTCTAAGTCCTCATCTGAAAACTTCACTTCCTTATTCCTCATAGCTTATCCTCAAAAACAGATGTTTTCTGTTACCTGTAAAAATCTTGAAAAAAAAAAAACAGCTAATAAAAATGAAGTACAGAGAGAAACAAAAGACATAAAATTATAGAGGACTGAAAAGAGCATTGCCATTAGTATCCTTTAAAAACTAAAAGATGCCCTGGTATCTGGGGCCAACAGGAAAAGTTCCATGGAAAGTCTGAGCGCATGAAGGCTGAAAATTTCGCACAAAAAGATTATTGTTTTTACTCTAGGAAATTATTTTTAGCCTTTTTAAAAACAGTCGTCCAAAGAACTTAATTTAGTAAGAGATGTTATAAACAAATGCAAAGAAGTATTTCTCATGGGACTGTTTCTTTCTCCATAGATGAAATCGCTATTCCAGACTTTGGCACGGGGGCCATGGAGAACTGGGGACTCATCACTTACAGAGAAACAAACTTGCTTTATGACCCTGAGGAATCAGCCTCATCAAACCAGCAGAGGGTGGCCAGCGTGGTTGCCCATGAACTTGTGCATCAGGTATGGAATCTTAGTATCAAATTAGCTTGTTTTTAAAAGTGGCTTAAGACCATAGGAATAATTGAAATTCATAATAACTTAGCAAATAAAAAACAAGCTAATCAGAAAATCCGGCCTGACAGTCTTTTAGGACACATTGTTTTGCCTTTAGTAAATACACAGGAGATCTCACTATGACTTTACATAGGCCCAGTAATACCTAAATAAAGGCAATAAACTAAGGAGAATTTAAGATCATTTAAAAATCAGGAGAAATCGGGCGCCTGGGTGGCTCAGTTGGTTAAGCGACTGCCTTCGGCTCAGGTCATGATCCTGGAGTCCCGGGATTGAGTCCTGCATCGGGCTCCCTGCTCAGCGGGGGGGTCTGCTTCTCCCTCTGACCCTCCCCCCTCTCATGCTTTCTCTATCTCATTCTCTCTCTCAAATAAATAAATAAAATCTTTAAAAAAAAAATAAAATAAAAAAATAAAAATCAGGAGAAATAGAAAAAAAAAGCAGGAAATAAATTCTAATTAAGTACAATGCCTGACACTTTTGTGTCAAGTGACAACATTTATATAGACAAATAAATGTATTGCAAATTTCTAGGCCTCTCTACCACAAGCACAATAATTTAACTCTCTATTTGTTTATAATTTCAGTGGTTTGGAAATACCGTGACCATGGAATGGTGGGAAGATTTGTGGCTAAATGAAGGATTTGCTTCCTTCTTTGAGTTCCTGGGAGTAAACCAAGCAGAAAAAGAGTGGCAAATGGTGAGCCTAGAACATATAAGCTCTCAATGTCTATTTGCCTCATGCAAAGCAACTGAAACCTTTACACCATGACTGTGTCCCCGAGTCAGGGGCCTGGTGCAGTGGTGAACTAGGAATTTCCTTGTGAGCATGGAGTGGAGTCGGTTCGTTCCACTGAGCTACATCTTGCTGAGGACCAATGCCCAGGCCTGGGAGAGCAGCTGACCACCCCAATCTGAGGATGTCCTCGATAGAGTCCCTCAATAACATATGTCAAAGCAAGAAAACAAAATAGTGAGCTTAGACAACGCAGCTCTGTATTTAAGTGCCTGCAGTGTTAATCCCTTGAAAAATCTAAGCCTAATTTTACAAAGGACTTACCTTACACAGGCCGCTGAAATAGTGTGATAGGGGTGCCTGGGTGGCTCAGTTGGTTAAGCGACTGCCTTCGGCTCAGGTCATGATCCTGGAGTCCCGGGATCGAGTCCCGCATCGGGCTCCCTGCTTGGTAGGGAGTCTGCTTCTCCCTCTGACCCTCCCCCTCTCATGCTCTCTCTCTCTCATTCTCTCTCTCAGATAAATAAATAAAATCTTTAAAAAAAAAGAGAGAAAAGAGCATAAATTGAGTGTTATAGGGGATGTGACCTTGAGCAAGTGACATATCCTGAGTCAGTTCTCTCCTCTATGAAAGAAGAACATTGTTCTCTATCTTGTAAGCTTAAAGGCTCCTGAAAATACCTGTAATTACCATTATCCTACCTCATGTCCTTGAGGGGCCTGGAACAAAGACATCTAAGAACCATAAAGATATTTTTTTCTGAAAAGCTAAATCTGTTTTTATCGATATTAAGATGGTGTACGTGCTCTTATCTGTTTGTATATATGAAAGTATAAGTGTGTAAGATTGTAAAAGTAGAGAATTACAGGTTGTGTACTGTAGAGACTACTGCCCTCTACTGGAAAAAATAAAAAGACAACCTTAAAATGCCTGAAGCCCTTGGCCATTTCCATAACCTACTTTAAAAAGAGAGAAAGTTAATTTACAATGATTCCTGCTTAAAACTTTAATTTACATCAGGGTTTTTCAACCATGGAACTATTGACATTTTGGGCCAAATAATTTGGGAATGGGTGACAATTGTGGGGGTTGTCCTGTGTATTGTAGGATATTTATAAGCATCCCTGGTCCATATATACTAGATGCAAGTAACCCTCCCTCCCCAGTTGTAAAACCAAAAATGTGTCCAGATATTTCCAGATGTCCCCTGGGGGCCAAAATTTGCCCTAGTTGAGAATCACTCATATATGTTGAAAATTGTTGATTTTGTAATTTGTTGAAATTAAACTGTATAAATGAAAAAATATTTTGTCCTTTATTTTCTATAATCTGAGGTCCTTCTTATTGCAAGCTATCTTAAGAAACTATAACATTTTCATATTGTTGTATTATATATAAGATATTTTACATTTTAATATTCCAATTCAGCATTTTAAAACACCAATTAAATTTCAGAAGAATTTAGTATTTTTTTTAAGGTTTATTTATTTGAGAGAGAGAGAGCGGTGGAGAGGGGCAGAGGGAGAAGGAGAGAGAGAATCTCAAGCAGACTCCCGGCTGAGCACAGAGCGATTCCACAACCCTGAGATCATGACCTGCGCTGAAATCAAGTCAGATGCTCAACTGACTGAGCCACCCTGGCGCTCCTAGTATGCAGTTCTTAAATGAAATTTAATCACATGGTCCAACCCATCCATCCGTCCATCCATCCATCCGTCTATCCACTCATTCATTAATTTTTTTATCCATTCATTCTGTCTTCTGTGTTCAGTGAACACTACAGAGAATCCAAAACAGAATAAAATATATTTCTTGCCCTCAAGGAGTTCCCAATTAAGGGTCTGATGGGTGGAGGGGAACAGATAACTATAGACAGATTGTAAGAGAGCCTGGTAAAGTACCACAAGAGTAGAGCCTCATTTCACAGGTGAAAAAGCTGATGCCCAGAAAGGTAATATAACTTTCCAATATCACACAGACAGTTGGTAGCACAACCAAAACTAGAGTCAAATTTCCTGACACTGAGAACGGAAGTTTTTCTACTTACTTAAGCCTTTTAGATGTACAAAATTTAAAATCCAATTCAAAATTACCTTGGACTGGCAGTCATCACTTGATAATAGTGTCTTGCCTATTATAAATGGAAATTGCAAAAGTGGAAAATGTAATACCATGCATTATCATTAAATTCTCTAACAATTCCAAAAAGCATATGCCATTATTTCCCTATTTGAAGGGTTAGGGAGCTTAAACTTACATATCTAGAAAATGGAAAAATTGAGCTATGAACCATGAAAGTCTGACTATAGGGCTAGACCTCTCAACCACTCTATTTTGCTGAGAAAACAAGGATTGGATTGAGAAGATGATTATTAGAACTAAAGCAAAAACTAATATTTCTTTGATTAATTATGAATCATCCAAATTCTAATGATTAGTTGACCAAAAAATTAAAAAAAAATTAAAAAATAAATCCTGAACATCAATTTTCATCAACATGCATCCTCACTTAATTCTGAGAACAAATCTGTGAGGTGGTATCATTCCCATTGCACAGATATGGAAATAAGGCTTGAAAACTTTGGCATGTGTCTGAAAGTCATGCATAAGTAGCAGAAACAATTCACAAATGCTTGTGTCTTCTTGGCCCGTCATATAGGGGTGAAGTCAAAGGAATTACAGTAGAAGAAGGGAATAGAATCAGTATGGATCAATCCGTGTAAAATATGATTAATTTGGTTTTTTTAAAAGATTTTATTTATTTATATGAGATAGAGAGAGAGAGCATGAGGGGGGGAGGGTCAGAGGGAGAAGCAGATTCCCTGCTGAGCAGGGAGCCTGATGCGGGACTCGATCCCGGGACTCCAGGATAATGACCTGAGCTGAAGGCAGTCGCTTAACCGACTGAGCCGCCCAGGTGCCCCAAATATGATTAATTTGAACACCTACTCCTTGTCTTAAGTAATTTGAGTCATTTATATTTATTTTCCACCAAGTGATACACAAATGATATTTTGAAATATGAACCAGTATAAAGGAAGTGCTGTCTTTTTTGGTTCATTCTGTCATTTCAGAGAAACCAGATGTTACTTGAAGATGTATTACCCGTACAAGAGGATGATTCTTTGATGTCTTCACACCCAATTGTTGTCACCGTGACAAATCCTGCTGAAATATCATCTGTTTTTGATGGGATATCCTATAGCAAGGTAGGGAAAATCTGACATTGTTGTGAACATCTTCTTGTTTAGTGACTTTTAGTAAATGCTAAAAATGGAAAGAATTGTGAGACTATGCTAATGGGCTTTAGGAAACAGTGTAGAGCTTATTCTGGGTGCTGAATATTCAATAGTTTGTATTTTCCTGTCAAATTGATCAATGCTGGTCATTGTCACAGGATTTTGAATCAGATTTTTAAAAATTTCTCCTTTCACTTTTGTTTATAACTTCTTTCATTCTAACTGAATATTTACACTTCAAGCTTCAAATTTAAAATTATTTGATTTTTTATTTTTGTTTGATTTTTTAAAATTTTATTATGTTATGTAATCACCATACATTATTACATCATTAGTTTTTGATGTGATTTGATTTTTTAAAAGACAGTAAATCTTCTTTTTCTGATCTGTGGTCTTTGATGTCATATATGTGGACACCTTTTCCAATAGAATCCTTTAGTTCAGCCAGTAAGAATTTAAACCCAACTCAGTTTGAAAGAATGACTTTTATCTATTTTTATATAACATATAAAGATGACTTTATTAATATGTTGTAGATGGGTGATTTTTATCCATTAACATGGTTTGCAAAGCGACTGTAGATCTACAGTGACCCATTTTCTCCCACAGAGTTTCCTATAGCTCCTCCTCCAAACATCTTCATGCCTGCATGCAGTATAATTTAGTCATTTCCCTTTTGCTGCTCATGGTTTACCCACTATGCTAAGCTGCTCAAAAGCCACTGCAAATGAATACATTTTGTTATTCTTGATAATACCTAAAGTTTTATTTAAAATGAAATATTATAATTATTAAAATGAATACTAGATAAAATGGCTTGAGTGAAAAAAGCCTTCTATATATTACTATTTCAAAGTTATAGCATCATATTTTTGGCTTCCCCTATCATTATTCCCATGGCATCTTTTTAGGCTTCCTTTATTCATTTTTCTTTCACACCTGCCAATGATTCTTTCCTCTTTCTCTTAAAATGGACATTTCCAATCCACTTATGGTATGGTCTAGTAACTCACATGGAGACGTTTATATTTTATTAAATCAGTTTCTTTCTGAATCCTTTATATTCCATGGGTTTAAGATATTAGGTCAAAAATAAATAAATGTTCTAAACCTTTAGCCTTCTACTAGGTACAAAAATAATTTATACTTAAATGACAGTAAAAATTGCTAACTTCGTGGGGAGGCACACGTTTTTCTGGCAAGTTACTTGAAAATTGATTTAAAAATGTGTAAATAGTGAATTTTAGTATTAATCTTATAACATGTGCAGAGAAAGTAGAGAGCAGAGGTATTAATCAAATTCTTCAGATAAAATAAAACCAAATGAGATAAACTACTTTTGAAGAGGATTTTATGCCTAAATGATATCTCTAACTATACTAAACTATTTGACCAGACAATTCCTCAACTATTTCCACTAAATGTAATCTTTTTAAAGTATTGAAATATACTTTAAGAAGTAAGCAGAATTTTATCATGGAATTACTTCATTCACTAAAAAATAGATTTCTAAAAGTGTTTCTAACGTTTCTCCTTCATTAGAAAAGCCCCATCTGCTGGTTCATTTGGTGAAGTGCAATAATTATTTAAACCCCAAGTCACTGAAATGATGGCCACTTTATCAATTTCTCTTTATCTTTTAGTTATTTTAGAAGCGTAGATACAGGGGGTGTGCAAAGTGACATTTTTATGCTAAAACTACTGAGTTATGGCCAAGTAATTTAGTGGGGTCATCTTGAAGGCATAATCTCGCAAATGCGATATTAAAATACTGGTCACCATAGTGATCCCTGGTGTTTGTTTCCAGCCTATCCTTTACTAGTTCAATTTGTCATTTTTTTTCCACCACAGGGATCGTCCATTCTGAGGATGCTTGAAGACTGGATAACACCAGAGAAATTTCAAAAGGGATGTCAGGTATGATTTATTACTTTTTAATAGTATTAAATGTAAGCTACACTAATCGGTGGCTGATGAATGTCAATATGTGATTAATTAAGGACAACTCCCTTTTTACTTTCTCTCTCCTTACTCAGGGATAGATTAAATAGCAAAACATGAAAAGGTGACTTCACAGCCAGCTAAGTGCCTGGACACCATTATCTGTGATTGCCATTTAGCTGAAATTTCATGGAGAAGTTGAATGGACTCCTCAGTTATTTTGGATGCCCTTTTTATGTGTATTAGCTCAGTCTACCATAATAAATACCATCGGCTGGGTCATTTAAACAACGGAAATGTATTTCCTCATGGTTCTGGGGGTTGAGAAGTCTATGACCATGGCCTGGCAGATTCATGTGTTGGAGAGGGATGTCTCCCTGGCCTGCAGATGGCTGCTTCTTTGCTGTGTCCTCGAGTAGCAGAGCAAGAGAGAGCTCTCTGGTGTCTCTTAGCAGACAGACATCGATCCCGTCCTGAGGGTCCCACCCTCATGACTTCATCTAAACCTAAATACCTGCCCCCCCCAGAGGCCTCATCTGCAAACACCATCACGTTGGAGAGTAGAGCTTCAGTGTCTGAATTTCGGGGAACGCAATTCAGTCCATAGCAACATGACATAAAAACGGAAACGTATCTATAAAGGTCTTCCCTTCCAGTCTGTAAAAGGACTTTTCTCCTGTTACTGGATTTTTTTTTTTTTAAAGATTTTATTTATTTATGACAGAGAGAGACACAGCGAGAGAGGGAATACAAGCAGGGGGAGTGGGAGAGGGAGAAGCAGGCTTCCCACTGAGCAGGGAGCCCGATGAGGGGCTCGAACCCAGGACCCTGGGATCATGACCTGAACTGAAGGCAGACGCTTAACAACTGAGCCACCCAGGCGCCCCATCCCCGGTTATTGGATTTAAAAAATGGCAAATATACACATTCCTATTATGATGGAGTCAATGACTGAAGAGGGCCTGCTTCCTTTTGGAAACAGAAATGATAAATTTTCAAAAGCATCTCACACATCCAACTTAAGGTGATTACTCCAGGGGATATTTCAGTTTCATCTTTAATTTCTAGCAAAACCTAAGCCAAGTCTCTCAGGGTTTTATATTGTCAGTGTTGCTACAATCTGTCTCTGCAACTGTCCTGTCTGCAGGTTGGCCCCACTGTAGCCTAGAGATGGAATTGGCTTCTTACTTTCCCCCTCTCAACTGCCTCCTCCCTGCTGTGATGCCCCAGGTTGCTCAGCAGAGCGGTGGTGATGGTGGCCAGTCCAGAAGGCAGAGAACAGGTCAGAGTAGCCCCCTGCCAGCTTTTCTAAAGAGTGCTAGTACGTCTTTTCGATGTGATTCCCCAGGACAATGCCTGCTCCCCATTCCTTCAGCTCTCGCTACTATTAAGTCTTCTTATATGGCATCCGGCACTCTCTATGCTCTCCCAAAAGGAGACAGTCCCCTTCTACCCAATGCTAAAATTTCTAGGTGACTACCAAAGTAAGAAATAGGACCAGGACTTGGGAAATATTCAGGGAGTATATCCATACATTTTACTCCTTTTGTCCATTAATAAAATATTCTGTGTGGACACTGGCCGAAAGGGAAAAGCTATGTGCTTATTCTTATGTGCACATTAGAACATCTTGTAACTTTTCCGTTGGCTTCAAACTCACATTTCTTCATATCTTCTCTCACTGTGAGCACCTTCAGTGAGGAACTCGGTCTTCTATATCTTTGCGTATACTCCAGGGCCTAGTAGAATGCATTACACATGTTAGGCAATCCAAAAAATGCTTCTTGAGTTAGTGAATGGCCTATAATAAATAGTATAAAATATAGAAAAAAAACAAAGACAATTCTTTTAAAAAATTCAGTGAAAATTCCACTTGCAGAGCTTTCATTCTAAATTAAACTGATCAGTAACACATTCTTGGAATCTTCAAAGCTGACTTCAAATTAAATGATTTTTATGGTAATTTCTAGAGATGGACCAAAAGAGTCTTTAAAAGTGAATAGCTATTCTAATAATTCAGAAATACTCTCGTATTTCCTTTAGCCCGGTATCTATGGTATAATTAATTAAAAAGCCAGTCTCCCTGTCTAAAACTAATATTTCTTAGGTGAAAACTGTCTTCCTCCACCCTGTGACTATAGATGGATCTAGAAACTGAACTAGGATGAATAAGTATTAATTTTTTCATGCCATCATAGTGCTGTGGAATAAATTTACCAAAAAAAAAAAAAACCCCACTAAAACACTCACTTTTTCCCTACAATCTTCATACACTAGCTCATATCTGAAAATGGTATATGATCAGTATAGACCACACTCAATAGCTCTCAAATCAATTGGAACATTCCTTTCCTTCATTCCAGTATCCGAATAGTATCTCTCCTTGAGTTATCATCACACTATGATTGCTGCCCCTAAATCCCACACTCTGTGATACCGTTCAAAATTTTTCCTTTGAAAATACTAATTTTCTGTCCATAGTGACTCTTCATTAGCTAACCTGATGTGGCATCCCCATCTGGGGATGGCCAGCTGTCTGCTCTCCTTCGTGCTCATCACCTTCCCCCAACCCCCATCTCAGACATCAAAGGAGGTGCAGAGTGCAGGGAAATAAGGGCAAAACCATCACCTGGAAAATCTTTAAGTCTGTGCTTGTGCATAAAAAATCATAATAGATAATGGGGCGTTCGTAACAGTACATGGTCATGAAATCAAGCTGAGAAATGTATCCATCCTTTCTTCTTCTCTTAGTATCAGCTGTATCCTTGATAGGACAGGAATGGCTCAGTTGGAACATGGCCCTTTCCCTTCCTGGGATACTAGTTACAGAAACAGGGCTCCTTTCCTTTTGTGCTTGCCACACCAATACCAACTAGTGAGGGACTATTATTGGGGGACCTAGGTCACCATAAAATTTTGAGTGGAATGACTGCGTTGTGATTATTCAAGGTGAAGAAATAAATTTCTTTTTTTTTTTTAAGATTTTATTTATTTATTTGACAGAGAGACACAGCGAGAGAGAGAACACAAGCAGGGGGAGTGGGAGAGGGAGAAGCAGGCTTCCCGCAGAGCAGGGAGCCCGATGTGGGGCTCGATCCCAGGACCCTGAGATCATGACCTGAGCCAAAGGCAGACGCTTAATGACTGAGCCACCCAGGCGCCCCAAGAAAGAAATTTCTTAATATAGGCTATTCAGAAGTGCACTAATCTAGACAAAATAAAATTGATGTCTTTTAATAGAATGTTTATATAAATGTCCATGTAGCCTGTAGTTCAGGAGAAGCAAGAAACTGCAGTTTATTTAAAAAGCAGTAATAATAACACCACCACTGAAACCCGTACAAACGCGTCCAGGAGTCAGAATTCTTTCAAGGTTACCGCAGGAAACTCTCTTCACCTCTATGGGCACCAGTTTCTGACACCCCTAAAAATGTGAGAGTTGTGTTAGATAATATTTTAAATCCCTCTAGTTCCAAGATTGCACGTTCTAAGCTCAAGACACTGTGAGTATACAAATAAACTCCTCTACATTAATTTTAAGATGCTACTACTCACTAGAAAGTGTCATTAACAGGTAACTATGGTTATAATTAATCATTACTATTCCAAGTCTCCCATTATTTTATTTAGAATGAATGATTTGTGCAAAGCTCTGGAACAAATACCTAAAACTGAATATCGAGTATGTGCCTTTCATGTCTTCTCCTTTCCTCTGGCTGCCCTCCAGTGGTAGTGCTGAGTAGTGACCTCATCAAAAGAACAAATACGAAGGCAGCATTCCAAACTGGTCTCAACTCTCGTCCAGGCTTCTCGAGTGGTACTGCTAACCCTGTTTTATCTCTCTGTGCCTGAAAGGAAAGGAATTTAGAAGATAATGTGACTTACGCACATTGCCTCTTGAAAATTATAGCAACTTACAGTAAAAATGTCAAGTGCAAAGTCAACCATTGGTTATTTTCTTTGAAGCTCAAGGAACATTTAAGAAGGTTTATTTCTATCGAAGATGTCCATATTTTAAATGGGACAATTCCTCACAGCAACAAAGTCATGATATGGCAGGAACTTTGGACGGTTTCCTGGAGAAACCACAATTATGAGGGTAGGAGAAAATTGGGAATTTTCTTTATGGACACACCACATTATATCTGAAAACTCATATACAGAGATTTTGTGAACAGAATTGCCAAAGGGGAGAGGCTTGTAGTTTAAAAATTCATTATTTTAAAAATAATTGAAGAGTGAAGACAGTCTTTAAAGAGAATAATTTCCCCAATTTATCCATGATCATGATCATCATTCTTATTATTCAAAACATCATATATCCATTTCTTTAAAGCAGGGGTCTACTAACTGTGACCTGGGGCCAAATCTGGCCCACCACCGATTTTTGTAAGGTCTGCAAACAAAATCACTTTTACAATTTTGAATGCTTGAAAAATCAAAAGAAGAATATTTCATGACACGTGAAAGTTATATGAAATTCAAATATCAGAGCACATAAATGATGTTTTATTGGAAGACAGCCATGGTCATTCATTTACATATTATCTACGGATGCTTTTGTTCTATGGAGGCAGAGTTGAATAGATGCAACAGACACTAGAGAGCCCCCCGAACTGAAAATCTTTACAATGCAGCTTTCTACAGAAAAAGTTTCCTGAGCCCTGGCTTAGAGCCAAGCTCACCTGTTTTATCTTTGTATGTTGCCTCAATCACTCATGTGTAATGGGTCATCTAGTGTCTGAAATAAGAAAACGCCCCTGTAAATGAAGGTAGGGATGTAGCTGGCACTGATAGGTTAGCACCACTAAGTGAAGATCATAGAATTAGGGATCTCTTGTCATATTGGATCACAAATGTTGTGGACTGCTGACTGTTGGCTGAACACTTGGATGCCCTTAAGCATCTTATACTTCTTCTCCTGAAAAAATTAAGCTTTTCCTCTCCTGCCCACAATTCCATTAGACTATAAAAAAGAACAAGCTATATAATTAATAAAGAAAAACAATTGTGCTTTACAAATAAATTATTTGTACAATGTTTTATGGGTTACAAGATATTTTGTATACAATGTATCATTTTATTTTATTCTAGCCATATTATTGCCATATTATACATTAAGATTATGTTGCCATATTATACAGTTGCCATATTATACATTAGAATGAGATATGTCTTTTTTTTTTAAAGATTTTTTTATTTATTTGACAGAGAGACACAGCGAGAGAGGGAACACAAGCAGAGGGAGTGGGAGAGGGAGAAGCAGGCTTCCCGCAGAGCAGGGAGCCCGATGTGGGACTTGATCCCAGGACCCTGGGATCATGACCTGAGCCGAAGGCAGATGCTTAACGACTGAGCCACCCAGGTGCCCCTAGAATGAGATATGTCTAAGGGTTCAGCTCATGTTGTAGAAGTATGAGAAAAGCATACATTGACTTCTTTTTAAAATTTTTTTAAAAAAATTTATTTATTTAAGAGAGAGAGTGAACATAGAGGGAGAGTGAGAGGGACAAGCAGACTCCCCCGCTGAGCAAGGAGCCCGAATCAGGGCTTGATCCCAGGACCCTGAGATCATGACCTGAGCCGAAGGCAGATGCTTAACTGACCGAGCCATCCAGGTGCCCCCATACATTGACTTCTAAAATACTTGTTCTCTTTCATGTACAGACTTACTTGGAAAAATACAAATTCAAGAATGCAAAAACTGAAGATTTTTGGGGAGCACTTGAAGAGGTAAGGAGTATATCCCCAAGTATTTCTTTGTCTGATTAACAAATGATTTATCAATCATTTCTTTATCTGACTCTTCTATCTTTTTATTCACCTAATTTGTTAATTATTCCTCATGTTTTTTAAATATCAGGCAAGTAATCTACCAGTGAAAGAAGTAATGGATACGTGGACCAAACAGATGGGTTATCCTGTACTTAATGTCAAAGATAGGAGGAACATCACACAGAAACGCTTTCTGTTGGATTCAAGAGCTAATCTTTCTGAGCCACATTCACCTCTTGGGTAAGGATCTATAATGCATTTCAAGAGTAAAGCAGAAATTTGATGGAAATATTGGCCATTTGCTTGGATCTTGCTCTTCAGTACATGATGGATGGGTGATAATATAAAAACACAGTGTCTTTAGGGAAACAAAAGCATTCAAAGGGAGCTCCGTGGTCTCCAGGTTCAAAATGGTGGACTGAGCACATGTATCCAAGTCCTGTTCTTCCCAGAAATCACTTAATAAAGGAACAGAAGTGCTAAAAGAAATAAACCCATAAAGGAAAGAAAATAAAGAGGAAGGGCAATATACATCACAGAATTCTAGAAGACAAGCCAGAAGGAGAAATATTGGTAGAAAACAAACAAACTAAGGAAGATGCAGTTAGATAAAAAGGGACTTGTGGTAGAGGTAGAAATACCTTCCCTATCCCTAGGCAGGCTCTGGGCTCACTGTCAGCATGAACAGTGGAGTGCAGGAATGAGACGTGAGGCTGAAAATAGGGCAATTAATTTGAAGTCTAGACTCAGGACAATTGTGCCAGTCAGACACACCCCCATTCCATTTTCCCTCCATCTACTACCATCCTTTTCTCTGTTCAGAGCTCTCAGAAGTCTGCCAGAAGCCTGGCAATGACCCAAGGCAAAAATCCAAAGGCTCTTGCCACCACCACCCCCCACCGCCACCCCGCCCCAAGTAAATTGACTAAAACAGTGGAGGAGAGCTAAGGATTTCCATTTGGTTAGGAAGCCCAGAGTAAAGCTTTCTTCCTTATGGCATTTGTGGGATGGATGGGCTAGAGCTGCTAGCTCCCCTTATACATACACAGAGCTCCCAGTCAGACATCCTGTTCAGAGGAAGAGCTTGTTTCAAAAAGACACCTCCCCTCTCAACAGCAGAGGGATTACAAGCAAGATGCAAAGAATAATTAATTTAGTCCTTCTTTCTAAAATATGGGTGGGCCATTAAGATCACACAACACATAAAAAAAAAAAAAAACCTAAAATCATAAAAGGTAAAATCTCACTTGAACAAACAAAAAATTGTCTCTATAAGAAACGTAATTGAGGAAATAGAAAATAAATTTGTGAAATACATTCGGAGATCAAAGAAGCTATTAACACCCATTTACTAAGAGCAGAATGTCTTTGACAAAACAAACTTAGAATATAGAATTGCTCTGGAAGGTTAAATTTTTGGTTGTCAAAGAATTAATCAAGCAAGTAGAAATAAATTTGGGGAACTGTCTCAAGTTATAGGGCAAACACACAGAACTGACAAATATGAAAGAGAAGACAAATATGCAGTGTCCAGCACCCAACTAATAGATGTCTCTCAAAAAAGAAAACAGAGAAACTTGAGAGGCAAATCATATCAAAGAAATAATAAAGGACACAGGGATTCTGATTAAAAAGTTCATTGACTATACAGTACAAAAAAGGAAAAAAATATATATACCTAGCTACATCCTCATGAATGGAACAATCATCTAAAATGGTTGAAGTAAAAAATATTTTCAGCCTCCAATTCTCCACACAAACTAAACCAAATGCAAAAGCACAACAAAGACATTTTCAAACATGTAGGCCCAGAAAATGCTTTCCACACAGCACTTCCTAGAAAGTTACTAGGGGAGGAAGAAGAGGAAAAATATGGATAAACCAAAAAAAAAAAAAAGAAGAAGAAGACGTGGATCCAGGAAACAACGCATCCAAACAAGGAAAACCATGACAGGAAATGCCGGCCATTAGTGAGCCAACGGGCTCACGGGGTGCCATGCGTAAGAGCCGGATGACTGGGCTCAGGTAGGTGATCACCAGGAAAAAGCAAGTATGGTTGAGAGGATGAAAAAACCTGAGGAGCTGGTGAAGGCCCATCAGTTAAGTCAACTGTAAAGAAGAAAACTAGAGAAACCAAATCAAGGCTGTATGTAAAAATTGTGATCCAAAAATATAAAGAAGGTAGAACAATTTTATGCCATTGATAAAGACAAGAAAAAGGAGTCCATTTGACCCTTATGTTAGGGTATTAGGGTAAATTTTTATTTAAATGACTCAGGGGGCCATGAAATCAGCCTATAGAGAAGGAAATGTAACTCTAACACACTTCTTGGCTAACAATATGTATACAATAGTATAATTTCATAAATGTTACTTATTGGCTTTTAACTTTTATAATCAGGGATGAATAACATAACGATTTTGTTACAGTGGCAGAGAAGATTGTAAATATAAGCAGTCTTAACGTTGTAACAAGGAAAAAAGCTGGCAGAAGAAAGGAGGTGGAAGAGGGAGGAGAGGTGGAAGGAAGCGTTGGGTCCTAATTCAGTGGTGTGCGTGGTGCTGACGCTAATCCCAACTCAGCGCCATCATGCTGGTAGCTTGAAATAGATCATGTGGTGAGTTAATGGAAACCAGCAAATACTGTGTTCAATTCCGCACCCTCCCCCCCCAAGAGCCAGTTATTAAGTATTTACCAGCATATTCATAGGATACCCTACAGTTTCTCTTCACTAAGGTAGGTAGGGGTAAAATCTCCTATTTTACGGTTAGGAGAGAGTAGCAATACTAAAATTTATGAGACAGGAAATGACAGCTTGAGTACATTATTGAAAGGAACAATTACAACCTATAGAAATCTAATAATAATTTTACTTTCTTAAATTTTGACTGTTAATGGGGGAATGGAAGATAAATTAGTATAAGTAAACTAAATCACCCCGTCTCATGGATGAGTTAACAAATACTATCTGGGAAAAAAAAAGAGAGAGAGAGCTATTTAGAGTTACAGAATTAGCCATCAGGAGAATCAAATCCAGAAGTACTTTTTAAAGGAAGATACTTCTGAGAGAGGGGCCGGCCTGTGGGAAGGGTGGAAAAGGAGACTGGTTTTTCAATGGCAGTCTTTCTAGTTTTTGATGAGGATGTTTCTATTTATAAATTGCACAAAGGAAAATCTCCTGAATATTAAACAGCAATTATAAACTTGATCACTCAAATTCTCTTGCTAATATCATTTATAAGGAACTTCTGAACATCACCACGTAAAATTTTATTAAATCCCATTTATAATTTTGAAATACAAACAGCTAAAGACACAGATTTATAAACCGAATTTAAAAGAACTTCCTATATGTTTTTATGAATCTAACAAATTAAAATTCATAGAGTATATCAAATTTCTTGGGCATTTTCAGCATATTGAGAACCGAACCTTTGACTTTACAAACTCAAGACTTTTCTAGACATTTAAACAGGACTATTGAGTTAAGGTGTCCTAACAATTTCAGTTAAAATTATAAATACAATGTCATTTCCCTCTAATTTGCCAGATTTTTTTTCCTTTTTTTAAATTTAAATTCAATTAGCCAACATTTAGTACATCACTAGTTTTTGGTTCAATGATTCATTAGTTGCATATAAATTTCCCAGATTTTTGAAAATGTTGCAGATATTATAAAAACTGACAAAACATGTGCGACACAGCCCGTGATTTTACACTGATGACACTTGTGTGAATATAGCTTGTACAGAAAGTCTTAATAGTATATCCATTTCTGTATGACTAGTTATTTTTGTATGCACTTCTGGGGTGCCAATTGCTGCCAAAAGAAGAGAAAAAAACCAGGATCTCAGGACCTCTGGTATGGGGCTGGCCACAAAAACCTGGGTATATCACTTTAGGGATACCATCTCGGCCACCCGTTACGCAGATGAGCCCCCGCCTAGACAGGATCCTGGCTAAATGGCAACAACATGGCACGTGTGGCACTGGTAGCCTGGATAGTGATCTAATTTCACCCTTGCCAGTTTTTTTTTCCAGTTTCATTGAGAAATAATTGCGTCATGTATAGTTTAAGGCGTAAAACATGATGGTTTGATTTAGGTATATCGTGAAGTGATTCCCACCATAGGTTCAACTAACACCCATCACGCATGCCAGTTTTGATGGTCTCTTCTTTCAACTTCTGAATACTCAGTTTGGTAGAGAGACTTTTGCACCCACTGCCACTTCTGATGATCTCTAATCTCCACTGCCCGTTTTGCAGTGAAAAGGCCCTTTGCCCTCTTTATCTCCTTTTTAATAGTCTCACTGCTCTTATTATATAGTTACTTATATATAAATCATCACAAGATCAATGATCTGGTAGCAATTAAGATAACATGAGGAAGGAGAATTATAGGGTGTGACAAAGGCGTCCTAGAATATCTATAAGCTGGTTCTTTTATAGTTACTGTTTTATGGTTTAGCGAACTAAGATTGGCCAAATTTAATACTGCTGGAGCCTTTAGATATTAAAACTTAAAAATGTTTCTTTCTTGTGAAACAAGCTTTCCTTGGGGAGTTTCACAATGATTACGCTCTCCAGTCATATGTGCCCCCTGATACACTGAGCCTGAATTAACAGGTGGGTCAGGAGGTGTGCTTGAGGAGGGAGGGCCACAGAAGACTTTCTTCCTTGAAGAAGTGAGATTTAAGCTGTGTAGGTTCATATGAGGGGATGACCATGGCGGGACGGGTGTTCAAGACAGAAACTACATGTATGAAGGCTCCGGAGTTTAAAAAGTGGCATTACCCATATAATATGCAACACTTACTGAGCATTTACTAAGTAGCTGGCACTACTTTAAGCACTTTAGAGCATTTTATTATAACAGGTGGGAGAAATAACTGAAAATGATGAAGTAACTTATTCAAGGTTGCACAGAGTGTAAATGATGGCACTTGGATTTGAACACTGGTGGTCTGGGTCCAAGAAGCTGAACAGCAGAGAGGCACTGGGCACAGCGGTGAGAGGGGAAGGCAGGGGCCAGGCATGCACATCCTGTTCAAGATTTTGAACAATAGTGTGCAAATTCAAGGACTTCAAAGAGGAAGAATTAGCAGGCTCACCTTTACATTTTTCAAAGTTCCCCTCTGGTTGCATTATAGAGAGTAGGTCGGAGTGGGGCAAGAGTGGGAGCAGGGAGGCCAGTTAGTATGGTAACTGGAGTGAGTGACTCACATGAGAGATGAGCCAGAGGATGGGGTCTGCACAAGGAGAGTGGCCGTGAGTCAGAGGGGTGTGGCAGGTGTCCTGAAGATGAGGTTGAGCTCAAATTTCTCACTAGAGAAAAAATGATATGCAGGGAACTGTATTGGATGAATTTTCAGATAACCATCTCATTTTAGAATATTGTTCTCATCTTGTTCTATAGTGGTCATAGCCAAATTTCTAGAGAACTGAAAGATCTTTAGAGACCCACTTATCATATGTACTCTAGACCCTGTTTCCTGGCTTCCGATTCAGGGCTTTGAAAATTAAGTCACACTAATAGCACACCTGGGTGTTTCCAACAACTCCAAATTGCCAAAATTCAAATTGGACTTCCTGTCCAAGGCATCAGAGAATGAAGAGCACTCAGAATTACTAAATTAGCTACTTTCAAGATACTGGTTGGCATGTGAACTGGAAGAACATCAAGAAAGCCAGTGGTGCTCACCTTATTGAGGCCGGTGATCAGCCTCTTTGGGAACCATCAGACACTCAGCTCCAGCACCGTAAATGACACTCAGAGGAACTGGGTATCTTGCTGTATGCAAATTCTGAAAATTAATAGCTCATGCCAAAACAAAGGAAATTTGAGTTCCTAGACCAAATGAGATCAGTCAGGGAGTGTCTGTTTATACTTCTTTATCTTCTCTTTATTTTGGAAAAGGAAGATTATGATAGAAGAGCTTTGTTTCCACTCTATCCTCTTCATAATGTATGAATGATTCAATCTGACATAGGTGATAATTCAGTTATGAAAATCCACATAATAATTTGTGCTATCATACTGTTAACTATAAACTGTTTATTTTATAGTTACTGTTTTATGTTCTAGCAAATTAGATTGGCCATATTTAATACTGCTATTTAATAGCCTTTGGGTATTAAAATTACAAAGATTTCTCTCTTGAGAAACAAACTTCCACTAGGAAAGCTTTGTAGTAATTCCCTTCTGTCATATGTATCCACTGATTTGTTAAGCCAAAGACATACTGAACACTGTTTTTATTTTTATTTATTTTATTTTATTATTTATTTATTTATTTGTTTTTTAAAGATTTTATTTATTTATTTGAGACAGAGAGAATGAGAGAGACAGAGAGCACATGAGAGGGGGGAGGGTCAGAGGGAGAAGCAGGCTCCCTGCTGAGCAGGGAGCCCAATGCGGGACTTGATCCCGGGACTCCGGGATCATGACCTGAGCCGAAGGCAGTCGCTTAACCAACTGAGCCACTCAGGCGCCCTTTATTTATTTTATTATTTTTTTAAAAATATTTATTTATTTTACAGAGAGATAGTGAGAGCAGGAACACAAGCAGGGGGAGTGGGAGAGGGAGAAGCAGGCTTCCCGTTGAGGAAGGAGCCCCATGTGGGGCTTGAACCCAGGACTCTGGGATCATGACCTGAGCCGAAGGCAGACACCCAACGACTGAGCCACCCAGGCGCCCCTGAACACTGTTTTTAAACTGGTGGGATTGCATTGTTTAAATTACTCCTTGGTTATGCATTCCTCTCCACACAAATAAAAATTTTATTACCCCGCAAATGAAGTGTATTATCAGGTCTTCACTTTTTCAGTTATAACAAATCTTTAAATTGTATTCATTGAGATTTAGAACATGGAACTATATTAACATTTATACTTTTCTCTAATATTTTCTTTAGTTTTTACCTTCAGTTACTATTTTTATTTTATTTAGATTCATAGATAACATGATTTTTTAGTGATCACTTATCATAAAATCAATCTACTCGCTCTATTTTTGTAAAAAAAAAAGTTATATATGCATAAGAAAATAAACCCAGAAAACATGTGCTATCCTGTTGAGAACATTTGTTAAAAATCTATAGCAGCTCCTGAACAAATAAGAGAGAAAACATTACATCAAAAGTGATCCTTCATGATTTTTTACTTGATTGAAAAACCTAGATCATAACATATGCCCTCATGACCCCAGAAAGGAATTAGCCCTTTCTCCAATCCTAGTGTTCACCTACTCTCTATCCAGATATATTTCTGTCTGGTGGGAAATGTGGTTAAACTCAATGGCCCCCTCCCCTTTCTCACTGCTTAAATATTCCAAGATTAGGGAATTCTTACTGACCAGAAACTTTGTACAATGCAAATGGCCCACACGTGTTTAAGTTATTGTTTTAACACTATGGTCTCAACCATCTCTTAGAAACAAACACATTTCCTGTCTCCATTAGGGGGAATTCTCTATCAGGAACATGTCTTTGGCAGTCCACTCAATGTAAATAGGGGGAAAAAGGGAGTAGGCATGTTATTTTGGGGCAATCGAAGTCAATTTCTTTAGTGAAAATTAGGTTGACCGTGTTTAATACTACCAAAGTTTGTTACAGTGTTAGATACAAAAAAGTGACTCATACCTTTATTTTTTTTCTTCTTCTTTTTTTTTTTTTTTTAAGATTTTATTTATTTGACAGAGAGAGACACAGCGAGAGAGGGAACACAGCAGGGGGAGTGGGAGAGGGAGAAGCAGGCTTCCCGCCGAGCAGGGAGCCCGATGTGGGGCTCGATCCCAGGACCCTGGGATCATGACCTGAGCCAAAGGCAGACGCTTAACCGACTGAGCCACCCAGGCGCCCCGACTCATACCTTTAAAAATGAAATCCGATCCTCCTAAATTTTAGGTAACACATAGAAGACTCTCCCATTCCATTTATGTAATTTCCATTTCTTGATATTTTGTACTCAAATCTACTATTTTACTCAGATTAGATTAGATCCTGTAAGGGATTCTAAAACTAGAAAATTATATAGCCTCAACCCCCTATCCTTTTAGTCTTGTGATCCCCTAAGACTTCAGAGCAAATTTTTTTTTTTTTTTTTTTTACATAACTAAGTAGTATATCTCATGTCCACTTTTAGGCACATTGTCGTCCCAGACACCATGTTTTACGGGGGAAGAGTCAAGATACGAAATCCTGACTGTGCACTTGGGCATCCAGACGCTTGCGTGCTCCGTCCTTTCAGTCAGGGCAGCATTGGGGAAATGTAGACAGGGGAAGAAATGTTCTTTTATGTGGCAGCACCAGAACGGAAGAGCAGTGAAAGAGTGAAATATGTAGATAGGGTGTGACCTTTAAAAGGTGCTTGTTTGTCTATCTGTTGAGAAGCTGCAAGGGATCGCTCTTAGGTGGGCCTCCCTAAAAGTGGATGCTGAGGTGATGATTCAAGTGAAAGCTACTCACCAGGAAGTGTTTCTAAGAAAGCCTGGAAGGGGAGTGGGTCGTGGGCAATCAAGCAGCCGAGTGCAATATCGAGCAGGTGCTATGGAGGATAACTATCCAGCGGGGACAGTGCTGTAGAGTGGTCCTGACAGATGCGGCAAGGAAGAGTCTCAACGCCCATCCATCACTGGCCGAGGGCGGCAGCCAAGAATGTAAATCCAAGGAACTGCTGGCTTTCCTTGCCCAGTCCGCTAGAGGGCAGTCCTCTAACAGAGAGACCCAGGCGCTTGGCTGTGGGCAAGGAGAGCACTTTGGGATCTGGGGGGTACAAAAATGACAAAGAGATTCAAGGGGATAAGGGTAGAGCACTGACAATGCTTGCAACATGACCCAAGAAACAATGTATGTATTGGTCCTATGGAACTTGGAGCCAAAAACATTCCACAGCAATAAAATCCTCAAAGAAAGTTACTAACAACTCAATCTTATAAAACGTTTCAACAGTGATAAAACAAAGAATTACTTCTTTCGTGTAGATGGCAAAATGTATTCTCCCCTTGGGGCACCTGGTTGGCTCAGTCTGTTGAGCCTCCGATTCTTGATTTTGGCTCAGGTCCTGATCTCAGGGTCCTGGGATGGAGCCAGCTGAAGGCTTCCTGCTCAGCGGGGAGTCTGCTTGTCTCCCTCTCCCTCTGCACCTCTCTCCACTCACGCACGCTCTCTTTCTGAAATAAATAAATCTTAAAAAAATGTATTCTCCCTGAATTACATAAGTTTTATTATATCTTGAAAAGGAGAAATATCATTCCCCATTCTCTGTCGGGGACTTGAATGATCACAGATGAAGAAAAACAAGGCAAACTTTGAGTTGGAACCCAAATTCAAACACAGATTCACCTTCTTTCTAGGTCTCTTGTATTTTCTGATTGATAGTACATGATATGAGAACAAACAAAGCAATTTAAGACCTCTTTTATGAGATTTCAAGACTAAAATGTTAAGTATATATCATACCAAAGTACAAAGCTAACCTCTTCCCCTCGCTCCACAAGAAAATACTAAGTAGCTAATGAGAACACTAAACCCCCCCGAAACATGCTTGTCTGATTTTCCTCTTCAGCACACCTGATTCACATGATGCAAAATAGGAGATATTGAAAGAACATGAGAACCTTTAAGGGCTGGATGGTGGTGGTGTAATTAGAGTGTCAACATAATTTCTAAAATGGGTTATTCCCTGCATGGTGTTTTAAGATTGACTTTTGAATTTGAAAAATGCTTTGTGTTCCTTGACAGAAACTAAGCATACTAGAATATGCGCAAGTATGTGTGTGAAAGCTCAATGTTAACATATAATGTATTATATTTATGCAATATCGTTATTTCAAATCCTCAAGGCATTTTATTGAAATAATCTTCATGATTAGCTAATTTGTTGATACAAAGTTCCAAATTTTAGAGATTTATAGAAATTGAAAGCAGTTATATGGCTTATCTTCATCACCAAAGAGTATTTTATATTAACTGCATTAATTGTATCCTATACACTGGATGATCATTTATGAGGAAAACATGCTTGTCTATTGCTTTTTAAGTATTTTTATTTTGGAAATGTTTTTATTTTTTAGTAATAAAAATTACATTTTTCTTTTTAAAAAAAATTTAGTTACACATGGAATATTCCAATTAAATGGACTGAAGATAATGTACCAAGTATTACAATCTACAACAGGTCAGAAACAGAAGGTAAATGTCATCAATTGATGTATTTCTTCTTTTGAAATTAATGTGCCACGTTAAACTAATGTAAGTGTAAAGAAACAACAATAAAGGGCGCCTGGGTGGCTCAGTCGTTAAGCGTCTGCCTTCGGCTCAGGTCATGATCCCAGGGTCCTGGGATTGAGCCCCACATCGGGCTCCCTGCTCAGCGGGAAGCCTGCGTCTCCCTCTCCCACTCCCCCTGCTTGTGTTCCTGCTCTTGCTATGTCTCTCTCTGTCAAATAAATAAATAAAATCTTTTTAAAAAAAAGAAACAACAATAAAGCTGGAATTTATGATGTAAATTCCAGCTAAAAGAGACCTCTTAAGTAATTTATCAATGAATTCAAGCCCTTATCTACAATAATGAGAAATTTTCTACTACCTTGCGATTTTTTTTTTTAATAATTTACCATGACTGACACAATAACAAATACCCATACCCAAAGGAGGGTCACACACCCAACCATTGGATGATCAATGTATAAGTTTTCTTTTTTTTCTTTCCCCCTTCCTCGTTTCTTCCCTCCTTTCCTTCCTTCCTTCTTTTTTTCTTCCTTTACTTTTTTTTCTTTATATCAGAGAAGTAAGTCATGGGATTTCTTAAAAGGTTATGTGACAAACCTGGTTTCTTAAAATGCTGTCATTAAATTAGACCTATCATTTTTCCAATTCAGTATGAAATTAGAATCCTTAATGACTCCAAATTATCTTTTCTAAGTTGTAAATTGTCACCAGTAGCTCAAGGCACTATCTATATCTATTTCCGACCGTGCTTAGCTTCCAAGACCGACAAGATGCGCTGCCATCAGGCTGCTAGGGCCATAGACTCTATATCTATTTCCATCCATCCATTCATCCGTCCATCCATCCATCCATCCATCCATCTCCCTAAATGAATTACTTGGCATGTGCCTGTGTTAAAATTCAGCTGTCACTTCTCTGCTTACTTAAATCAACTGGAAATATATTTCTGTATTTTATCTCCCTTGGTTTGTCTTTTCCTTTCTTGAAAAATCTAGTTATATAAAAACAAGGAGGTCTTATCACAGGTTCTCTCCTCCAGATTGCTGAAAAAAATAACAAATAGGGCAGGTTTTAGCATGCATCCCAGAAGATTCCTCCTTTTTATACTTTTACCATTGTATTTGTTTTGTGTTTCCAAATCATTTCTTTTCCAAGACAAATGATCCTCTTCTTCACCCCATCCCATGCAGTGTTGGTTTCAGAAAAGCATTTGGCATGCACTCTTCACCTGTGGCTTCTTAGGGATAAAAGTAGAGTAAATCATTTATCCTTTATTTACATATGCCTATTTGCTCCTACAAAATATTCTAAAATATTAATTAGGTATGATTTTCCCTAGCAAGTAAATTTTTATCCTACTGATTGATTTTTAAACAGCTTTTTTGAGAAAAAAATTCACATTGTTGTGCAATTCACCAATTTAAAGTGTAGAATCCAGTGGTTTTTATTATATTTGCAGATATGTGTTACCAGCACCATAGTCAAATGTAGAACATTTTAATCACCTCAAAAAGAAATTCCATACCCTTTAGCTATCAATCCTTCTATCCTCCCATACCCCCAGCCCTAAGCAGCTGCTAATCTAATTTCTGTCTGCATAGATTTGCCTATTTGGGACATTTCATATAACTAGAATGATATGTGTAGTATTTTATGACTGGCTTCTTTCACTTAGAATAATGTTTTCAAGGTTCACCCATGTCATAGCATGTATCAGTACTTCATTCCTTTTTATTGACAAATTATATTCATATCATATTGATATGCCACCTCCTGTTCATCTATTTATCAGTTGATGAGCATTTGGATTATTTCTACTTTTTGGCTGTTAATGCTGCTATAAACATTTGTGTACAAATTTTTCTGTGAATCCAGTAAGGTTTTTTTCACCTTTGGGGTTTTTTACTTTTATTATAAGTTCTTTTGTGTGTATGTGTGTTTATTTTTACCATAAACTTGACCAGCTTTGCTACTGTCAAGGCAAGAACCCGTTCTGTTGCTTTGTGGTAAAACTTTCTCTTGATCATTTATACTAACAATTACTTTGATTGTTATGGTCAACATTTCTCCCAAATTCTTTTAGAATTCCCAGATCAATGCCATTTTGTCTTACTCTTTTATATATGATTGTAGTTTTAGATACTGAGCTCTATCTTCCGTGATCTGCCTTATGACCATTTTTTTTACTTATAAGCATGTTTGCCGATGGAAAATGGAGAAGACAAAAAAAAAAAAAAAAGACTTTCTAAAACGTGCAATACCACTGGGGCCCCTCGGTGGCTCAGTCAGTTAAGTGTCTAATTCTTGATTTCGGCTCAGGTCATGATCTCAGGGTTGTGAGATTGAGCCCCATGTCAGGGTGGAGCCTGCTTAAGATTCTTTCTCCCTCTCCCACTGCCCTACCACCCCCCTAAAAAAAATGTGCAATACCAATGATAAAAGGTATAATGAGGCTACCATTCCAATGGAAGTTCAGTGAATTTGGTTTAACATATTACTACATCTTTTACCCATTGGTTACCATTGGTTAACTGAGAGTTAGAGGAATCTTGGCAGCTGCTTGATTTCCTGTTAACAAATTTAAAAGCATGAATAATTAGTCTATGCTAACAACATTTTCATGGAATGAGGTTTCCAAAAAGTGAATTTTCTAGATAACTAAAGCTTACTCAAGTGTTTTATAAAATAAAGTTGAAGAGTTAACAATAAAACATTTTTCTTATATGGATTATGTACTTATTAGAGAGAATATTTGAATAATAAATTTAATCCTTATTAATCAATTAATCAATTAATTCTTTCAAGGAAGTATTTACCGAGAGCTGACTTATGTGCCAGACACAGAGGTAGGCATGGAGATAATGCTGAGGGAAAAAAATCCTTACCCTCTTGGTGCTTACTGTCTGGTGAGGATTCAGACGCGTCAGCGGGCAAATATGTGTCAGAAGTACCTGGTGTCGTAATAGCCAAGGGGGCTCGCTGAAGAAGCACCAGCCCAGATTTGGGGGTTCAGGAAAGGTTACTAAAGAAAAGGATGTCTAGGCTGAGAGCTAGGAGGTAAAGGTAGTGTTTAAATGGATGATAAGATTGACCAAGTACAGACAGGAACTACGCTCTGGACAGAGAATGCTAGTAGGAAAGGGCAGAAAGCTCTCACAGCAACTGCATCCCTCTGTCTTTACATTGAACACATTTTTTTTTTTTTTGGCCTAACTATTGACTTAGTTGTCTTTCCCCTCCCCATAGAATATTTCTTGAGGAAATGGAGCTTATTTATTTTGGCTGTGGTTGTTCTATATCTTCAGCAGTTACCCAGTAATTGTTTATTGAATGAATGAGTGAAAGAATGAATGAAGACGCTCTAATTTTCACAGAGCTTTGATGACAGACCTGTCTTTATCTGAAATTTCAGAATCATGACTGCTCACTTAGCCAGAAACAAACTAGACATCTCTTCCTACTTCAAAGTGCCTGCTCCATTTTTAGGCTATGCAATAAGTTCCTGTTTCCTGTTTGGGGACATCTTCAGCTCTCAGCTCAGAGCATGGATGACAAACACGTCCCAAGTGCACTGAATGGGCAATCAGCTCAGGTTACCAGCCCTCCCGCCCTCTTCTTCGTTTCTTTGATGATTCATCAGCTAGAAATTTCCCAGGCAATGTTGGGACTTCCCCCAAGGCCTTTTATTTACATTTGTGTTGTACATGATATTTTAAACATTAAAAAAATTAAACATGTAATTTATAACAAAAGACGAGGACCTCTATCACAGACCCTTCTCAGGCGATTCCAACCTGCCCTGTGTAATCTCTCTTCTTACTGTGTATAGTATATTTTATGCTATCGGTTTAATCAGTCCTTCTTTATATTTTGAATATCATCATTGTTATTTACTCTTCATTTGCTCTGTCTTTTCTTTTTTAAGTAAATGACAAACTCCTTGGAGATACAACCTCTGCATCATACTCCTTGATGGCAGGTCAGGAATACCACCCTATTGCCAATGAGGTTCTGTGCACATCTTAAGACTTACTTAGAGTTTAGTAAGTCCTTGCTTATTGGAGGCTGGTTTGCCCTCAGCCTGCTGTGCTGTTCGAGAATGCCTGCAGATCCTTTAGTTATGCCTCTATCTTTAGTACCAGCTACTACTTTGTCAGTGCATCTACATTTAGTAGTATATCAACTTCTTGCTTTTTAATCTGCTGCTTTCTAACATTTAGAAGACTTGAAGGCTATTACATGATGTCAGATAACTAATCTTACTAAAATATAATATTTTAAGATAGGTATTTCTAAGTGTATAGTGTCTAGGAGAGGGCCTAGGCCATAGGAAATGGGATAGACTTTGGGATGACAATTTTCGTAACTCTTGCAGATTTGAGGATACATTCTGGATGATTTAGATAACCATGTCCCGACCACATATAAATAGAATATTACTATAATTTGATGGTAGTTATATTTAAATATTTCATGTCAAAATAATTATGGGCATATATTTTTAAATTTAATAACAAAGAGAAAGAGAGACTTTCTTCCTTCTTTCAAGCTGAGCCTCACGGAATGTTTGAATTTTGATTGGATCATTATGAATTCAGTTTTGCAGATTCAAAAGCTCAGTTTCATCAATTCAGCCCTGGTCAACCAAGGCTTGGAAGATTTATTCACACAAAGCAAACATATAAGAATGCTAATTTGTTAATTTATACAAATAAAAATATACTGGCCAAGGTGAACCAGAATACTCATGTCAGCTAATTAGGAATCTCTTTCCAAGAAGAAAGTTTACTTAATAAGAGTAAAGAGAGAGTTAAGGTAGATCAATTATTTTAGAGATTTTATCAAGCTGTGATAGCCTCATATATTGCATTAACCGGGGGAGTCTAATTATTGCATTTAGAGGCTATTTTGATGAAATGAAACCTTCTTATTCATGCAACAGTCCAATGGAGGTATTCCTGACCTGCCATCTTTCCTGGGTGGTTCACTCCTAAATAATAACTTCCTCCTTTTTATGGCTCTACTGCTTCCTAGACCTTCGATTCCTCTGCTGGATCTTTGCATCTGACCACAAGACAGAGGAAGATAATGGAGGGAGCAGGTCTAGAAGTGCATCTATTACTTCTGCCTACAATCTGTGTCCAGTTGTCAATACCATGTTGCTACCTAACTGCAAGGGAGGCTAATAAATATAGTCTAGCTGTATACCCAGGGAGGAAGAGAGAATAGTGTGGTAAATAACAGATCTCTACCACATACACTGTTCTCTATAGGAGGAAATCTGTTAAAAGATCTGGAATACGGGGGTGCCTGGGTGGCTCAGTCAGTTAAGGGACTGCCTTTGGCTCAGGTCATGATCGCAGGGTCCTGGAATCAAGCCCCACATCAGGCTCCCTGCTCCCTTCCCTCTGCCGTTCCCCTGCCTGTGCTCTCCTGCTCTCTCTCTGTCAAATAAATAAATAAATAAAATCTTTAAATTAAAAAAAAAAAAGATCTGGAATACACATACCAGCTCAACTGTGCACCCACTTCCCTCGGCAGACTGAGACACACTGAAAGATCTTCACTATCTAACTCTTCTTTGCAATTATTTCTTCCCAATCACCCAAACCATCACCAGTGATAATTGTTCATCATGGTATCCAGGTTGCATTTTTCCAGATTCCTGCTTATTATGTATTGCATATTAATACTACACCTTTCTTTTTAGGGAGATTCTCATAAAATCTTGCTGAGATTTAGGAGGGACTCTGTAATTATTACTAACATAATCATTAATACTTTCTTAAATGATTTGTTGAAAATATTACCACAAATGTATAACCAATCCATTTTACAATAGATCATGTTACTCTTAGTTTCAGAAATTAAAATTTTCTTCCTTGACCCTAAATTCTGATAGTGCATCCTACTAGAAAGTTTTAGCTCCCCAAGTATAAATGGTGTGTCGTTAGTAAAAAAAAAGTACTATTCTTGTATTTTTCAGCTGTTGTACTAATAAGTGATGGGTAAAATTTAATAAGATATAAACTGTCATTTTACACTGAAAAATAATTTGCTTAAAGCATCAATGCAACAAAGCATCTACATCACTAAAGAAAAATGTTCCTTTCTCTAGAATTATCAAGCTATCACAAGAGCTGTCTAGTTGTCTAAAGTTTGTTATAATTATTTATATAAAATAGTATACAGGCATACCTCAGAGGTATTGTGGGTTTGCTTCTAGACTACCACAATAGAGTGAATATTGCAATAAAGTAAGTCAAATGAATTTTTTGGCTTCCCAGTGCACAACATAAAAGTTATGTTTACACTATACTATAGTCTGTTAAGTGTGCAATAGCATGATGTCTAAAAAACAATGGACATACCTTAATCCAAAAATACTTTATTGCTAAAAATGCTAACCATCACCTGAGCTTTCAGTCATGTCACTGAGCACAGATCACCATACCAAACATAATAATAATGAAAAGTGTGAAACGTTTTGGCAAGAATTAGCAAAACGTGACACAGAGACACAAAGTGAGCAAATGCTGTTGAAAAAATGATGCCAATGGACTTGCTCAATGCAGGGTTGCCACAAACCTTCAGTCTGTAAAAACTGCAGTATCTACAAAGTGCAATAAAGCAAGTTGCAAAAAAGTGAGGTATGCCTGTAGTAAAGAACTGTTATGAGAGCTCTGTTACTGAAATCTATCTAGGTTGAAATTAAATAGCCCCTGGATGAAATTTTGAAAAAGTAATTACCCATCTTCTCTACCATCTAGACAAATAAAAGAAAAAAAAAAAAGGAATTTTCTAGACAGAGCTCCCACCCAGAAAGAATTCATTCAACTCGTTTATGTATAAAACTAGCAAGAAACAGAACAAGCTGATTTATTAATTGAATGATAGGGTGTTATGTGGCCGTTCAATTTACATTTTCACATGCAGGTATACCCCGCTTTCTGAATGTTCACGTTCTGCCACCTCATTTTTACAAAAGACCTACATTAGTATGGTAATGGCTTTTTTCATAAAAATGAAAATGCTCTTTGGATTTCTTTCAGTTAGCAAAAACAGGTACTAATATAGGTCTTTTGTAAAAAACAAAGTGGAATTAACCCAGACTTTTAGAAAGTGGGAGATACTCCTCTCTTTCTGCTATTTCAGCTTATGAAAGGTTTCACGGGAAAGCTCTACTTTCAGATAGAAAGCAAAATTGCAAGGTGTTTACAATAGACTTTCAAATGAAAAGGATTGTGAATCATAAAAACAGTAAAGTCCTATTCTGTGTATTGGGTGCTTGTATATGCACGTATACAGAGGTTACGCACGAAGAAGACAAGAACAATATGTTAACTAGTGGTGGGTCATTTTTTATATTCTTCATTATACTCTTTTTTTGTATTTTCCTAATACATATTTGGAACTGTAAGGAACACATAAGCCTGTTACAATCAGAAAAGCAATCAACAGTAAGTGGAGAAACGAAACATAATACGCGCTGACTCCCATGTGCCGCCGGGAGCGGCCACCAGTATTCTAGCCCTACTTACTTCGCTACGTAACTAAACAAACCAACAGTACGTTGCTGTTAACAACTGCTGGGAAAGTAGGATGAACTTGGAAAGTCCATAGCTACTGACTTCCTGGATCTCAGCTTCCTCATCTATAAAGTGAGAAGAATCACAGTAACTCCAGACAGGCTTAACTAGGTATATATAAAGCACATTGAAATACTGCAGTATTTAGATGGATTGCCAGGAACTTCTCAATGTTATTTATACTTGCCTCACTATTTATAGAACTGTGGCATATCCCCTTTCATAATAATGAGGATAGCTACCATCTGTTGGACAAATAACTCTGTGACCAACACTCTACCGATGTTATCTTATTTAATCTTCACAACAGTTCTGTGAGGGATTTTTATCCCTATTTCCCTTATGGTGAACAGGGACACAGAGAGGTCAAGTGATTTGGCCAAGATCACACAGCTAGTTAGTCACAGAACAAGGGTTTTATCCTAGATCTGTCAGACTTGAAAGTTCATGCTCTTTTTCCTATAACATATGGCTCTGTGCTTCGCAAGAGGCCCTCCTCCAGATACAAATATTCAAAGTGTATGGTTGCCAAAAGATTAGCTTCCTTTCAACAACTTGTCTATGGGAGAAAGACAAAGGAAGATAAATACTACATGAGTGAGGTAAAGGTTTATAATTTGTCAAGTACCTACTTTGAACATTCCTAAAAAAAAAGTATTGTCTTGTTGGAGAGCTTACTCATATATTATGAAAAACTACTGTGTCCTGGATATCTTCCAAACCTTGTGAACACTTCCAAAATTTAAATCTTCTTTCCTCCCAAACTAACTCATCTGCCTCTATTCTGTGATGGCAGCATCATTATTTATCCGATCATGCAAGCCATTTCCCCCTCCTCTGACCGTCCACATCAAGTAAGAAAACTGACTGTTGATTTTACCCATGATGTGTCTTGAAAACATCACCTTTTTTCTTTTTTCATTACCTCCATATTGGAGTAAGCCCTCATTCCCTTTTGCCTTAGATGATTACAGGAGACTCTAAAATCTCCTTCCAATATATCACTCGTACCACCATCAAAATTATCTTTCTAGAAAGCAGACTTGAGCGTGTTATTTCCCTGCCTAAAAATCTTCTCTATCTAATCATCTCTCAGAAGATGGATTCCTTCACATGGCACATGGCTCTTGCGCTCCAAAGCTCTAGACTTTATTTCCAGCCTCATCTTCCATCTTCCAGTGTCACATCCTTACATTGTCACTACATTAAACTATTTGAAATTTCTCAAATATATGAAGTATTCCCACACTATTATTTAAATTGTATATTGTCCTTGCAAACAAAAGAGTGTATGAATTAAAAAGTACAGAAGCAATGCTGACAAGTGAATACTGGTCGTGTCAGAGCACAGCTATTATTTTAAGAGAATATTTTTTACTTCAAACATAACTCTCTGTTCCTTCAATGTTGAGCTTCTAAAATCTATATACTAGAGCCGTATGTAAATACTGGAGGCTACTTTAGAAAGAGAGTTAATTTGGCAAATCCATTGATGAAAAGCATTGATGTAATCAATTGAAATAAGGAAACAGAAGACTTTACAAAGATAAATAAATTTAGAAAAGCAAGCATGACACGGATTACAAAATCAAGAATGTTGTATTTGAATTTCAGTTCTATTGCAGGCCTTCTTGACATTTTTAAAGCATTACTGATTCTCAAATCATTATTTTGCTAGGCAATAGCCATTGCCGTCATTTTGAATGTTGATTTTAATAAATAAAGTATTCTTTTAGATGTTTACATTTTTATCCCCTCCCCAGCCTGCCCAATGAATATTCTTTGTGTAATTAATCCATCATGATTAGCAATATATGGCCTACCCCCAAAAGCAAGGACCTCTCTGTCTTTTGGCATTGTTTTCTTTTATTGGAGGATTGACAAGCACAGAATTATTTCACTCACTTGGCAAGCTTCTACCAGTAAGAAGTACAAGTCACAAATCACAGGACACTTATTTACATTGGTTATTCTTTTTCAGCTCATGCACTACAGTGACATTCTAAAGTTAGGCAACTAAATAAGAATTAAGCTTTGGGGCTTTGGATCCAAATCAAACTTGACTCCTTGAGCTGATATTTCTTTTCTTTTCTTCTGACCCTCTGGGCCTAATTTCTCTGTGTTTACAGTATATGCAAACATGTTTCTCATTAGTGTTTATTTACCACCACAGGAATCACTTTGAACTCTTCTAATCCTGCTGGAAATGTTTTTCTCAAAATAAACCCAGATCATATTGGGTTTTATCGTGTAAATTATGAAGTAAAAACCTGGGAAAGGATAGCTACCAGTCTTTCCATCAGGCACAGGGTAAGAGTAACAGTGGTTGTGAATTGTTTTATTTTTGTTCTAAGAACAGTGTCTTGATGATATTATTTTTTTCAACATGCTTTGCTTCAGGAATTGTGCTACTTACCTCTTTTTCTTCTCCTTTTCAGGACTTTTCTTCTGCTGACCGTGCAAGTCTTATTGATGATGCTTTTGCCTTGGCAAGGTGAGTTTTGGAATGAGATTAGACTGTGGATTTTGTCATAAATCTCTTTTCTTGATGAATTGCAATGAAGTTTAAGTATTAATTATAGTTTAAAATATCCAAAGTCACTATTTATAACATTATTGTTTTCCTTAACTCTCTTTTTTAAAACTCACATAAGCCTCATAGCCAAAATACTGAAATTTGCTCTTAGCAGACACACAAAAGCTCACCTACCCTATTGACTTTGAGTAGGGTTCATCTATATCAGAGCCCTTGAGCTAATTAGGAGTGACATTTGCAAGTGCTCAAAAGTGCACCTTCATAATTTGATTTAATAAAACGACAATGTGTTTCATTAACTTACTTCTATGAGCCTAAGCCCACTGTATGAGTTTATGGCTAGAGTTGTCAACTCTTGTTCAGGTCATCAGGGTAAGAAGAATGAGACATGGTGCTCTAGGATTGATCAGAATTAAGGTACCGCTTAAGAAATTTGACTTTTTTGGTTTTCATGTCTTGAAGGTGACCTACACTTAGAAAAAAAACCCATCAACGTAGATTAGGGAAATGAAGAAGTAGTAACCACAGTATCTTTGAGATTTTTTGTTTTGTTTTGTTTTCAAGTAGTCTGACACTACTAATTCAACAAGTGTTTGTTGAATTTCTGGTACTTCTGTAGGAGCTAGGGCTGGCTTTTAGTGGCCTCATCCTAGATGCAAGCAGTGTACTGAATGAGTGTACTGAGAATGAGATGCTACTTCCTCAGAAAGCTTTCACTGGCCCCTTTGTCTAGGTTGGGTGTCCCTTTCGCAGGCCCCTGTGTTTCGCCACAATATTATACTGTCATTTCTTATTAACTGTCCATCTCACCTACCTAATTGTAAGTTATGTGAGGGTAGGCACCCAGATCATGTTCCTATTTATTTTATTCCCGGCTTCTAACTATGACTGGCCCAAGGGAGAAGCTCATTAACTATGAGCCAAACACATGTCTGAAAGATAGTATACCAGCACTCTAAAGGCCTGGGAGAACTGTTTTCCACAGACTTCCTAGATGAGATACTGGAAGTCAGAAAACCTTCTTGACATTTTTTAAGGAGGGGATGGATAGGGTTATAAAACAGGCTCTGGAACGATTAAGATCTTGGTTCTTTAAAACCTGGAGTAAATTTCCTAACCACTCTCTGACTCGATCTCCTTATGAGAAAAATGGAGATGACCTTAAAAGATTCTTGTGAGAAACAAATGAAATAATGCACGTAAAGCACCTCAAATAATGTCTGGCCTATAGCAAGTGCTTAATAAAGTGTACCACTTGACTGTACCAGACACTGCATAGGCCTGGGAAATTAAGTGGTAAAGGAAGATAATCAATATTATAAAATACAATAGAACCCTTAAGAATTCTTTTGGGGGAAAACTCTCCTAGGAATGCATCATGACTTTTTCCAAAGCTTGGCATCTTGGCTTTTAGCAATTACACAGAACTACAATATCTTTGTAATTTAATTCCCATCAAAACACAACGCAGACAGTTCTTTTTGCTTTAAGAAGCGAAAGCCTCTTGAACACGTCTCTATGGGGCACTGTGTATAAAGCAAATAATTCACACAATTGAAAGACTTTCCTTGCATTTGCTCAGCTCCTTGGCCGTAGCCCCGTAAAATTTTGGAAAGATATGGGAAGGAAGAATGTGAAACTCATTTGAAAAACAAAAAATATGTAGAATCACACAGCAACGGGTCTGGAAAATACCTGAGCAATCACCTGAGCTATTCAGTTATCACCCAATTTCCTTCTGTAACACATGAGGGAAACAGGACTCAGGGAAGTAGAGTCCACCAGTGTTAGCTACAGCTAAGTGCAGTTCCCTCAGAAACTTTAGGGAGAAAAAAGGGGAAACATGTAGTTAAACAGTAAGTGCCTGTGGTAGGATAAGAAGTTATACAGTTCTACTTGGGTGTTCAAAAAAGAAATGTAACTATCATGTTTCATAAGCAGGGCTAAAAGAGTGCCTCTAAATATAAAAGTATTGTTGATTCCCCTGTCCCCAAATTTGAGGAGCTAGTACTCTTACTGCCCCAGATGAATATCCAGATGGGCTCATTTGTTCAAGACAAGGAATAAAAATTCTCCCAACCACTTCAAGTCCCTCAGACAGGCTTAGTTTGAGTTTGAGCCCAGTTCAGTAAAACGATCAAAGTTACCAACTGCATTTAAAGTTCCTCCCTGCCCCCAACTCAGGCTGGTGTCTGGCCAGCCACCTGCAGTGGGAACCAGGTGCTTGATGTCTTTGCCATTTTGTTGCATGGAACTTCCGCTCCTCACTCACCAGGCTGCCTCTGATTCCTCCAGAGCTAAGGCAAGGAGAGCAGGGAGGGAGAGCAGGTGAAGGGAGAAAAAGATCCTGACATGCTGTCTATGTTTGGCCCTCTCTGGACTTTGAAGATGTTTAATACTGACTCATTTTCTTGTGTGCTGTTTTCATGGGGTATTTGCCATCCATACCCATTTTTATTGCTAAGAGTCTTTCTCTTGCAGTTCCTTGAAGTGGGTAAGTGAAAACCTCTGAACCACGACTGGCCCATAGGAAGTATTCACATATCTTTTCCCCCAACAAAATCTGGGAGGATGAGCCACCCCATGCAGTCTTATCTCTTCACTCTGAGGTTAGAGCGGTAGTCAGCCGCAGTCTCTTATCCTTTAGATTTCTCAGGGTATCAGACACCAGGCCACTGTGCCCCCAAACTCCAAGATAAAGGAGGTAAAACTCTTCAAGTGATTTCATCAAAGCCCTTTTTCCTAGACATTATGTGAGGGGAAAAGCCTCCTGCAACCCCCTCTCCCCTGTGGGAGGAGAGCATTCACAGTACCCTGACAGCTCTCCCCCACGAAGCCCTCTGTTAAAGCCCTCATTCTGCCCCTAGCTTCTCCAGTGCCCTTAATAGGCTGGTGATGGGTTATCAGCTAAGGGTCACAAAAATCTCTCCTGACCATGTTCATTCCAATTTGGTGGGCCTGCATCTTACTTTGGGGTTTAGGCCAACCGGCCTGGTTTGGGGGTTAGGCAAGGGGCCTTGCCAAAACGGAGACAGAAAGAATCCTTTTTGTCCACCTGTTACAGTAGGGTTTTCCTTTTCAATAGCTTCCATTGTGCTCTGTATCCTACTGTGTGCTAAAGCCAGGAAGAGGGTGAGGAATAACATAAGGGAAAGAAGAGAGCACTAGCTAACAAGCCAGTGGGTGGGAGCAGGAGTCTCTAGGTGAGGAAAGAATGGCAGAAAGAATGGCTTAAAAGGCCACCAAAGCTAATGATCCAAACAGAATTTCAGCCTGGCTTCACAAAGCAGGGTCCCAATGATATCCAAGGTGAGGAGCAAGTTAGCAAATAAAGGCCACCAAGTGAACATCAGCCACACCAAGATTACAGACCTCTAGGGTCACTGGTTTTACCATTTTACAGGTGTTTGCCGAGGTAACCAGAGCACAACACAGAATTGGATAAGCCACTTCACCCTCCTACCCCCCACCCTCATGCTGCCTTTTAAAGAAAGGAGAAGTAGGATAATCAGAAAGACTCCAAAAAGGACCTAGTTGTTTGCAAAAAGACTGTTATAAGCCAGAAATCTGAATTTAGTTGGCAAGTGAACACTGAGAAATCAGGCACAATGGGGACGTTTTGAAATTCTCCATACCACCAAAGGCTTTGCTGGGAAAGAACATGAGCACATTGGGTCAGCTGCATCCACCTAGGCACCTCTCCGAACCGTTTCTGATGTCCCAGTGAAGAGGGACATTTGATAAGACACTATGCTTAACTCAGCTTCTCTGAGGACTGTACTGTACTTCCAGGTCACACCCAGGGAAGCAAAAACAAACCTTTTGTTATAGGATCCCCCAAACTTCCTGGGTGCCTCAGCCCAAGATAGGAAGGCAAGAATTCTCTCATTAGATCCATTTGTCCTTTTTTCCATCAAGTTTGGTGGGAACTTTTGTTAAGTATAGCCTCCATTTTCTCCAGATGATAGGAACTTCTATGATTTAAGTCCATCAGGCATGGCTTTTACTAGATGGATGGAAGATTTTTAAATGAAGAAAATTATTGGAACACCTGGGTGGCTTAGTCCATTAAGTGTCTGATTTCAGCTCAGGTCATGATCACAAAATCCTGGGATCAAGCCCCACATCAGGCTCCCTGCTCAGTGGGGAGTCTGCTTCTCCCTCTCCCCCTCCTTGCTCATGTTCTCTTTCTCTCTCTTGCTCACTCTCTCAAATAAAAAAAAATTTAAAAAGATTTTATTTATTTATTGAGAGAGAGGGGGGGAGGGAGAGAGCACGAGTGAGGGAGAGGAATAGAAAGAAAAGGAGAAGCAGACTCCCCACTGAGCAGGGAGCCTGACGAGGGACTCCATCCCAGGACCCTGGGATCCTGATTTGAGCCAAAATCAGATGCTTAACCAACTGAGCCACCCAGGCGCCCAAAAAATCTTTAAAAAAAATAAAAATAAAATAAAATTCTTAACCATATCTGACTTTCAGAACTGTTGTATGCCTATGGATTTAACAAATGGAGTTTGAGACTCAAAGTTGCATAAGAATGCTGTCTTAGGTTGAGCTCCCTAGAAGCAGAGTATGAAATGCAGGTTCATGTACATGTAGTTTATTGAGAGAGTCTTCTCATGAAATAGGAAGTATGAAAAGCAGGATGGGGCAGGGATAAAAAGCTGAGCCATGATATGGTCTGAGATGGAGTCTAGCTTAGCCAGAATCCACTAGAAAGCTATGAATTGTGTTGTAGAGTAGGTACAATTTGAGGGAAGCAGGCTGGCTTGTTGCCTTCCTGAATCAGAAAATTAATGGCATGGGGTGGAGGGATTGCATTACCTCTTAGGCAAGATGGATCTATTTGGCCGAGGGCTCTTCTCTGAAGAAGGTGGCAGCTGTGAGCCAACAGAGCACTGTAAGGGGATCTGAGAAGGGCACTAGAGATGTCTTTGTTCTCAAAACCAGGTCTTCACATGTGGTCCCATCAGTATCAACACCGACTAGGAGCTTGTGAGAAATGCAAATTCTTAGGCTCTACTCCAAACCTGCTAAATCAGAAACTCGGGTGGGGAGGTCCGGGAGTATATGATTTAATGAACTTTCCAGGTGTTGTTGATAGTTGCTCAAATTTGAGAATCATAATTCTTGGGGCGCCTGGGTGGCTCAGTTGTTAAGCATCTGCCTTCGGCTCAGGTCATGTTCCCAGGGTCCTGGGATCGAGCCCCGCATCGGGCTCCTTGCTCTGCGGGGAGCCTGCTTTTCCCTCTCCCACTCCCCCTGCTTGTGTTCCCTCTCTTGCTGTGTCTCTCGCTGTCAAATAAATAAATAAAATCTTTAAAAAAAAAAAAAGAAATGTCAATAGGAACTTCAAATTTTGTGGAGGAACAAAATCCATTTTTATTTATCAATATTGTTTGAAAATGTATGAAAAAGGAAGTGTTTTAATGGGAAAAACAAGTTCAGTTGGAATGTTTTAAACATGCATAATTCACGAGTATTGTTATGTTTCGTCTTCATATCAAAGGTAAATAATTTCAGTAAGATATAATTATCATGGTGCATTTGTAAATTATTTTCTTATGAAGTATTTTTTAAAGATTTATTTATTTATATATTTAGAGAGTGGTGGGGGGCAGAAGGAGAGGAAGAGAGAAAATCTCAAGCAAACTCCTTGTTCAGCATGGAGCCCGACGTGGGGCTCAATCCTACAACCCTGAAATCATGACCTGAACTGAAATCAAGAGTCTTTTACCTAACCAACTGAGACACCCAGGCGCCCCACATTTATATATTATAATCGGTTTGTGTCTATTCATCAATATTAACCATAGCTGAATGGCTTTTGTTTTATCCAAAATTTTGCCTCAGTGATTTTTGAAATGTACTTTTTAATGTTCTGTCTTCCTCTTTACTATTGAATATATGAAAGCACTAAGACATCATTGTGAACAAACCTCTTTGATTGGGTCCCCCCAAATAAACACATTTTCTTAATTGCTTAATAGAAGAGTTCTCATTAACACTGAATTCTATGATTTCCATATTAGTACTTTTAGTCAAATGAGTACTAGTCTCTGGGTGGATTTTTGTTTTGTTTTGTTTTTAGTCTATGGTTTTTAATTAAAGGTTTTTTTTCTCTTCCTTAGAGCTCAACTTCTAGATTATAACATGGCTCTAAACTTGACCAAGTATCTCAGACTGGAAGAAGATTTTTTACCATGGCAGAGAGTAATTTCAGCCATAACCTACATCATTAGCATGTTTGAAGATGATAAAGAGCTATACCCTGTGATTGAGGTGATGTTAATGCTATATCTTATGACCATAAATGTGCAGCAATGAGCAGAATAGGGAAATTTCTGAGACAAGGAGCTTCTGAGAGACACAAAAGCACATCCGTGTGCCAAGTGAAATTAAAGGAAAGTACAATGACATGACTAGTCAAACCAGAGATACTATCTCTCTATTTTTTTCAACTTGAAATGTATCAGTATTTCTGGTTCAGTATACCACTTAATGATATATTTTAGTGTTAGAAAGAACACAAGAATTAATATTTTAGTTACAATAGACAAGATACTAACTAGATCCTATTTTCAATGATTTATCTATGTTAAAATGAATTTATTCTTACTAAAATATAACATTATATTTCCTTATTCTTGCTGCTGTTATTTCCACATTGAGATTTTATTATAGGATAGTCATTCTAAATACTTTGCTTTGGGGTTTCTGCAGCACTTTGGTAGGACACTTGCAATTTTAAGGAAATTCTGGATTCAAAGCTCTAGCTCTTTTACCTACTAAATGAAAGAACTTGGACAAATGATTTAATATTTGTGAGTCTTCATTTCCTTTGTACAATAGGAATGTTGGCACTTCCCTGCCTATGGCAATGGGATAGTATAGATCATATAAAATAAACATCCTTTGTAGATCCAAAGGCGGTATACATATATCAGTTATCACCATTTTTATTTCATCAATACTTTATTAATCTTCTTAGTGCAGTAAGTATGTCAGGTGTTACTCCATTTCTTAGAAATGTTAACTGAAAAGTAGAGGTTAAAAGGGGCTTACCTTGAATTTTATGAAACATTAGAGGATTCCAGGATGTTCTTATCTTCAGAATTGAAGCAAATTTGCCATGTGATAAGAACTGAAAACATCCCTTTCCTAAGGAAAGGCCCAAAGTCCTCTGAACTAGTAGGAAAGAAGATTACAACAGGGGGCTGTAGATCATAATAAATGAGAACCTGTTGATAAATAGTAAATTCTTACTCATTGTACATGGTGCTTTTGTTTCAGAAATACTTCCAAAGTCAAGTGAAGCCCATTGCAGATTTTCTGGGATGGAATGATGACGGAGACCACCTTAAAAAGTTATTTCTTACATTTTTAAAATTAATTTTCATTTAATATTTGTTTGTGTATGTTAAAACATGTTAAAAAGTGCTCATGTCCCCAGCTTTGCGTGTGTTTGTTTTTTAAGGTTACTCCGTGCATCCGTGTTAGGGCTTGCGTGCAAAATGAAAGATCAAGAAGCCTTGGACAATGCTACCCAATTATTTCAGCAGTGGCTAAGTGGGACTGTAAGGTGACTGTTCATGTGTTCATTTCTAGAGGATTTCAAACTTAAAAATGAAGAATTAAATCTCTGAAACACTGTTTCTTCTTCTAGGCTTCCTACAAATCTCAGGCTTCTGGTATATCGGTATGGAATGCAGAACTCTGGTAACGAGACTTCATGGAACTACACTCTTGATCAATACCAGAAAACTTCATTAGCTCAGGAAAAAGAAAAACTGTTGTATGGATTAGCATCGGTGAACAATGTTACTCTTTTGTCAAGGTAAATTTTTTTTTCATTCATATGAGTGGCATGTGATGGTTTATGTGTCACGGTCACTTTAAGATGTGAATTAAAGTATGATACATTTCCAAGAACATCTATTAAAACTTATTTTCCTGGCAAGAAACAAAGTATCCATGTAAGAGTGGAATAAAGAAATGTAATCTCATATGAAAACATTCTGGGAGTAGGCAGTTTCTAGTTGTGAGCAGTGGTTCAACATTTTCATTCAGGACCTGGGGTATTTCTCTTTCTGTTCTGCCATCCTCAACATGTTGGATGTCTCATAACCTCTAAAGCTCCAAATGTTTTTCTTTGCACAAATATGTTCAGTGAAAGAAGAACAAGAACAAAAGAGTTCCTCCTCACAAGACTTTGTCTTTTATGCTAAAGGTGAGTTATCTCTGCTTCCCCTCATAACCAGAACTGGATCACACTTGATCATTCTGGGTTATACTCTAGGTCTACCACTTGATCATTTGCCACCTAGGATGAACTTGAATTCCTTTGACTGATTTGAGTCATCACCACACTCTGAGGCTGGGGTAGGAGCCTACCTACTTCCCTACTATCAAGGATACCTTGATCCAAGCCCAGAACAAAATTGGTTTCTGTCATCAGAGAAGAAGTATGTGCACAATATGCATACACACACACAAAATGTATTTATATTCCACTCAGAAAGACTGCTTGAAGCGCACCTATGAGTCTTCTGCCATTACACATATGCCCCAAATCAACTAGCATCTGCCTTAATTCATTTGTTGCTTAGCTATGGTTTCTGAATTATTTACTGCATTCACTTAACCAACACTTAAGAAGTCCTTTCTATGTGTAGGTATATAAATTGTGGGAATAAAAATGAATAAGACATGATATCTATCCTTGAGAAACTTATAGCTCATGAGAGAGGCAGAATATAGATAGGAAATTACGATGCAATAAACAGTTTGTAAGAATAACAGGAAGGAAAGCCAACAATACTCCTTCATCATCTTGCTTTGGGGTAGATGTCAATTCTCTTGCTCTTGGCCCTAAAATAGTCTATCAAGAACTTGATCATTTTGCCATTCCATAAAACATCATATTGATCCATTATTTTGATGGCACTGTGCTGATTATCTGATGAGAAAATTAGCAAGTGCTGACATGCCTTACTAAGATTCTTGTGAATTAGAGGATGAGTAATAAGTTCCACAAAAATTCAAGACTACCACTAAAGGTGCAGTTTCTGGAAGTTCAATGGTCTAGAGTATGTCAAGATATTCCCTCTAGGTACAGCTATGGCATAGAGTTAATAAAACCATGAGAGACCATGGACTCTGAGAAACAAACTGAGGGTTCTAGAGGGGAGGGGGGTGGGGGATGGGTTAGCCTGGTGATGGGTATTAAAGAGGGCACGTTCTGCATGGAGCACTGCGTGTTATATGCAAACAATGAATCGTGGAACACTACATCAAAAACTAATGATGTCATGTTTGGTGATTAACATAACATAATAAAAAAAAGAAAAAATCTATTGATCTGGTCACTTAATTTATCTTGGACTTCTTTGCATTAGACTATACTTATAGCTAATTAATCTAACCATATAGGTTACTTTAGTTGTTTCTTACAATCTAGGGAAGAACAAATAAGATGTAACTGCTATTCATTAGAAAATAAAAGAATAAATACTTTCCCTTAATTTACTGGCTCTTTTTTTTTTTTTTTTTTAGTTCAGGGGGGTAATAGGTAAATGGGTGAAGTGCTTATATACAATAAATTCAATTAATTTTTTAAAAGTTTATAGTTAAAATTTTGAATTGTTTTTCTATTTGTGTTTTCTTAGATATTTAGATTTGCTCAAGGACCCAAACCTTATTAAAACCCAGGATGTGTTTACAGTCATCCGATATATCTCATACAACAGCTATGGGAAGAATATGGCCTGGAATTGGATTCAGCTCAACTGGGAATATCTAGTCGACAGGTGGGATAATCAGATAATGGCTTGTTGTTCTCTTTGTTTGATACCATCAACAAGTTCTTTCTTTTTCTCTTTGTTGTACTTTCTCTGACATCTATACAATATCTGGAATGGCATATAATTAGAAGTAAAGGATCATGGTATTTTCCTTCTAGGGAAGCAATAAACTAGTTGATTTTAGGCCTAATTCCTTTTCGGGAAATTATTGTTTCCAACTGATCTACAGAGTTCTGAAATCTGGAGAGATGCCTAAATTGTATTATTTTTAGTTTGGTTAAAACAAGTTAAGGTAACTCTCTCTGTTGTGTTAGCACCTACTATAATGCCAGGCACGTATTTAATTCTCAAGATTTAATGAAAATGAAGCGAGTTTCTGGACTTGGGTTCAAATTGGAGGCTTATATCTTACTGAGCTTATATGGATGATAACTTTTATCTCCCTTGACCAGATAATTATACTTTAGGTATTAAAGGGACCTATATTTCCCAGGCAATAGCAATTTTAAAATGGGAAGTAGAAAGGACAAGAGAGGAGCAAATCAAACTAAAGAGATGCTTTCCCAAATTTCTTATTTCTTCAGCCCCATTTAGAAGAAACGTTGCTATTCTTGGTCCTAATCCTCTAAATTTAGTGGTTATTCCTATTAAAAAAAATTTTTTACAGACTATAAAGTAGAATCTAGATTATATATCCAAATAAATGTGTAAACATTGACCAAAAGACCCTTACTGTCTGTAATCCCCACACTGGGAAACAGTTATCCTTCCCTAATCGCTCCTGTTTTCCCATCAGCACTACCTCATTGATAATGACTGCCTTATCAGAAATACTAACTATGAAGATAACTTTTATTTCCATTCTCTTTTCTACCCCACAATTCACCAGGCTGCCATAGGTTCATTCACATTTCTCATTGTTCTGAGATCCAGATTATATCTGTATCTTTCAACTAAGATACCCTACATTGCTTGTGCCTATTTGTGATGAAGTTTTGCCTTTTCTGTTCTTACAGTGATGGAGTGTAACTGTTCATCCATCTCTATAAAAATTAACTGGCATGTATGTGTGTGTGTGTCTGTGTATGATGCTTTGTCCATCTGTTTATAACTGTTTCAATGAAACGCATGACTTAGAATTAATAAATCTTCCTAATTGAGAACATGTTATCTGAAGGTAACACTTCATGTTATGCAAGCCAGTACATTGCATTTGCTTAATATATGCCTACTGAAATGTACTGAGTATTTTGTTTTAATCCAAAAGACTATAAGTCTTTCATTTTTTGGGTACATGATGCAGGAAACCTATGCAGATGAAGAAGAATGCTTACTTTTGAATTATTGTAAAAAGATAAGTAAATAATGTTCCATTTTGCATAATAAAATGGCGATTCCCTTATTGTTTATTAAATATAAAGTACTTTTCAAGGCCTATTTGAATAGCTTTGGTGTGATTTATTTCAAAGAAGATATTTTTCATTTTAAAAAATTAGTTCATTGTCATACCTCTTAATAATTAATAACTAGAAAAAACAGGTGTTATTTTGTCATAAAAGTCATAAACATCTGACCCTAAAATAAATTAATTAGACCTAATCCTGAATTAAAAAAAAAAATAATAAATTGATATACTATTCCCAGTGCTAGTTCCAAAACCCTTGCTCAAGGCTTTTCATATTTCTTCATAGTCTAATGAATTAATTCTCATGAGGTATTATTTCACATAGCCTCAAACATAAAAGTATATTACAACCACATGTTGGACACAAAAATAACACCCAATATTAATTATGGTTAGTTTGAATAAATAGAACTTCCCTGCTAAAATTGGATAGGATGAATTAAACAAAAATGAGCAAGCTTTATACAAATATTTCCAAACTCTTGAATATTTTCCAGAATTCAGGATGAGTGATTTTCCTGCCTAGGTTCCTGAACAATTTATTGTCATCCTAAAATAAATAAGCTGCTTTTTTACAAAGGGCTTTGTCATGTAATTTTTATGACAACTGATGGCCACACCACTAATGTCCTTTCTAGTTTGAGACTTAATCAAAAAGTTCCAAAGATATTTCTGCAATTAGTCTTTGCTTTTGTTTATTCCAGTAAGGTCTTAGATGAAACTGTGAAGATGAATGAACTCAATAAGTCAGTAGTGTGGTGTGCTAAGGTTTGATTTTAATTTATGACTATGGTTGAAAATTAAGTCAATGGGACATGACTGAAACCATTTAAAGACTGCCTCAAAGACAAAGAAAATTAGTAAGAATTTAATTAAAAGTTTTATGTGCATTGAAATAATTTCTTTTGGGTAATATAATAATACTTATGTTAAGTATTAAGTCCAAGAAGATGATTGTTATATAATATTATTTTTTAATATTTAAGATAAATCCTTATTTTAGTTTTAAAAGTAATTCACATGATAAATATACAGCATGTTTCCCTTTAAATGTTACACTTTATATGCTATTGGTTTATTGGGATAAACATATTTTGTTCTTACATTTTTATTATTTATACAGGGAGTTGCAGTCTCTATTCAATCTATTCATTGCTAGTTCCCCAAAATATCCTCTAATTTGTAGTCACTAGGAACAAAACAGAAAAGGAATATTATAGAGTTATAGAAGGTCACTGAGAAAAATTGTTTTCTTACCTCTAATTAACAGACTTTCTTTGAATCTACAGAATATCATTATAGCAACTTAGTGTGATTTCCTTTTTTAAATCCCCCATTTTCTTATTATAAAATGGGTAGGTATTTTTTTGCACAAAATACAGATAAGCAAATATAGGGATATAAAAATCACCTGTGATTCCACCACCTAGAAATAACCTTTGTCAGGAGCGCCTCAGTGGCTCAGTCGTTAACTGTCGGCCTTAGACTCAGGTCCTGGGATCCAGCCCCACATCAGGCTCCGTGCTCAGCGGGAAGCCTGCTTCTCCCTCCTCCCTTCCCTCTCCTTGTGTTCCCTCTCTCACTGTCTCTCTCTCTGTCAAATAAATAAATAAATAAATAAAATCTTTAAAAAGAAGTAACCCTTGTCACACTACTGTTTTCCTTGAGACATTTTTCTATGGCTGTTTATTTACAGAAATGGAATCATATGATGCATATGGTTTTATAACCTGCTTCTCCCCCTGCATCATCCTCTATCGTGGATGTCTTTTCATGTCTTTAAGTATGCTTCCTCAATGTTATTTTTGATGCTCAATCATATTTCAGTGTATAGATATATCTTAGTTTATTTAGCCAATCTCTATCTGTTGGATAATAAAACTGTTCCAAACTTTCTGATGAATGTTGCAGAATGGCCACCCAGAAAAAAATTTACTATTAACTTTGCCCATTTTTCCAACCCTTGCTAACACTGAGGGCTGTCTTTAGAAATAATAAAAGACCTAAATGTGAGATAGGAAACAATCAAAATCTTAGAGGAGAACACAGGCAGCAAGGTCTTTGACCGTAGCCATAGCAATTTCTTATTAGACATGTCACCAGGGGCAAGGGAAACAAAAGCAAAAATGAACTATTGGGACTTATCAAGATAAAAATATTCTGCACAGCGAAGGAAACAATCAACAAAACTAAAAGGCAGCCTACTGAATGGGAGAAGATATTTTCAAATAACATCTGATAAAGGGGTAATATCCAGAATCTATAAATAACTTATCAAACACAACACCCAAAAAACAAATAATCCAGTTAAGAAATGGGCAGAAGATATGAACAGACATTTTTCCAAAGAAGACATCCAGATAGCTAACAGACACATGAAAAGGTGATCAGCATCACTCATCATCAGGGAAATACAAATCAAAACCATGATGAGATACCACCTCACACCTGTCAAAATGGCTAAAATTAACAACACAGGAAACAAAAGATGTTGGCAAGATGCAGAGAAAGGGAAACCCTCTTACACTGTTGGTGGGAATGAAAACTGGTGCAGCCACTCTGGAGAATAGTATGGCTGTTCCTCAAAAAGCTAAAAATAGAACTACCCAATGATCCAGCAATTGCACTACTAGGTATTTACTCAAAGGATACTAAAATACACATTTGAAGGAATACATGCATCCTTGTCACCTCACTTCTGTCCTATTTCTACTTCACCAAGCTCTAAATGTTGTTCTTATCTCTTCATCTTCATTGCCAGAGTCCAATCTACCACTACCTTTTGCTGGGACTCCCCAATGTCTATAGCATCATTATCAACAATAACCAAACTATGGAGAGGGGCCAAATGTCCATCAACTGATGAATGGATAAAGAAGAAGTGGTGGATGGGATACTACTCAGCCATCAAAAAGAATGAAATCTTGCCATTTGCAATGACCTGGGTGGAGCTAGAGTATATTATGCTAAGCAAAATAAGTCAGTCAGAGAAAGACAAGTACTATAGGATTTCACTCATATGTGGAATTTAAGAAACAAAACGGATGAGCATTCAGGAGGGGAAAAAGAGAGATGGGGGAAACAAATTATGAGAGACTCTTAACTATAGAGAACAAACTGAGGGCTGATGGAAGGAGATGGGAGGGCAATGGGATAGAGGAGTGATGCGTATTAAGGAGGGCACTTGCTATGATGAGCACTGGGTGTTATGTGTAAATGATGAACCAATGAATTCTCCTGAACCAATACTAAACTGTATGTCAAATAACTAGAATTTAAATTAAAGAAAAACAATATCCTTGCTAACTGAGTATATAAAAACTGATATCTCATTTTATTTTCTTTATTTTTTCATTTTTTTAAAGATTTTATTTATTTATTTGACAGAGAGAGAGTTAGCGAGAGCCAGAACACAAGCAGGGGGAATGGCAGGAGGGAGAAGGAGGCTTCCCGCTGAGCAGGGAGCCCGATGCGGGGCTCAATCCCAGGACCCCGGGATCATGACCTAAGCCGAAGGCAGACACTTAACGGCTGAGCCACCCAGGCGCCCCTGATATCTCATTTTAAATTATAATCCTTTTATCCAGTAAATACCGTATAACATCTACTAAAAGCTAGGCACTGCGCTTGGCATTGAAGATACAATAGTAGAAACAGACCTGGATCTCTGTCCTCATGGAGCTTAGGATCTGGTAATGGAGGCCAATATTAATTAAAGAATCACACAAATGCATGTACAATTAAGACTGTAATAACTACAAATAGAAGAAGTTCTGGTCACACTGAAAGAGTGTAAAAGGGGAACTGACCAAGTCAAGAGAATTTGGACATTAAGGGCTTCCCTAAGGAAGTGATGGTTGAGCTGAATTCTAAAGGAAGAGCAGGAGTTACTTAGGTGAACAGGAGGTAAAGCATTCCTGGCTGAATACCTTCTATCAGAAAAGAGAAAAGATAAGGGCCAAACTTTGCAGGGTCAGATGTAAGATCTGGGCTGTTGTTGTAAGAGCAGTGCTAAATCACGAAAGGGTTTTAAGTAAGAAAGTGAAATGCTTGATTTTACTTTGAAAAGAAAGCTCTGGTGGTAAAACACAGACCTAGGTGGGGGCCAGAGTGAATTTGAGAAAAGCGGTCAGAGAGCTATTGGAGGAGTCCCAGCAAAAAGTAGTGGTAGATTGGACTCTGGCAATGAAGATGAAGAGATAAGAACAACATTTAGAGCTTGGTGAAGTAGAAATAGGACAGAAGTGAGGTGACAAGGATGCTTTGGTTTCTAGAAAAGGTAAGGAGAAGGAGAACAATGAATTCAGTTTGCTATTTATGATGTCTTTGAGTCTCTTTTGAGATGTTGAATTGGAGATTGTTTCAAGGAAGTTATAGTCCCTTGTCAAATGCTACTTAAGAATTGAGTAAATCCAAGACCGAAAAATGCCCATTAGATTTACTGGCATAAAAGCTATTGGTAACTCTAGAAAGTTTTTCAGGGGAGTGATGGTGGCAGAACCCAAATTGAAGCAAATTAATTAATCAATCAATGGAGAGGAAATGAAGATATGAAATGTAGAGAACTCTCTTGCAAAGTTTGACTATGAATGGGGAGGTGAGAGAAAGGATATTAAGAGAGATGCCAGATCAAGGAAGAGAATTTTTTTCTTTTTCTTTGTGGAAGATAGTTTTAATATGTTTAATATATTTTAAAGCTGATGAGAAAGAGCCAGTGAAGAATGGGAGATTTACTATGTAAGACAGAAAATATTCTTTTAAAAATAAAATTTTTAAGAAAGTGGGGAGAAGTTGGAGCCAATGCACACATGATAGAAGAAAAACAGGTGTCTTTGTATGTCTGTAAACTAAAAGATGTAAGAGTTACTATGTATTTTCTCTGTGAATTAGAAGACAAGGTCGTCTTTGTTGGAGAAGGAGGGAAGCAGGAGAATGTCTGGAGGTTTGAAGAGAGTGAAAATACTTGAAAAAAGTAATTCAAGAATTAAGAGAATGAATTGACCAGGGTAATGTAGGAGGACTCTCAATGTGGAGGGTCCATTTAAGATTGATATTCATGAATTTACAGTGAAACATTTTGGAAAAAGTTGGGTGACTTCCCTTGGAAGATTAGCCACCTGGCGCAAACACAGAGGAAATGGGCAGTTGATTTCATCCAAAGCTGGAGTTTTGCTAGAAACAAGTTATGTTTGCTAGAAACAAGTTATGGTAGACCATGGAATCTAAACTATGTAAGGAAACAAGTGCAGGAAAAGGAAGAGCTGATGGTCCAGGAGAAAGTAGAGCTAGGGATGGTCAATGGGCCAGAAATCCAGATGAAGTCAGAGAATGGTCATAGTGAAAACTGAAAGGTAAATTTTATCATGTCTCTAAATTTTAGAGACAGTGTACTTATTGATGATTGCAAGGTATGATCATGGGAATTGGCGGCCAAGGTAAAGAAAATATCACTGGGAATGAGAATGTTAAGAAACTAAGGAGCTGGGATGTTATATTTACCATCCATGTGGACCTTGAAATCACAGCTTGGAATAGAGAGGAAGACTAGAAGTCAGGTGCTAAAGTGTATCACAATTTAGGTGAGGGAGAATAACTAGAAGGAACAGAGGTTTTTAAAAAGAGTGGAGAAATAATGGTCTGGAATCCACAATGGGGGAGCATGAGCACATCAAGTCCATTTCTGACCTGCTTCTATGAAGGATGTGGGGAAAAAAAAACGTTCTCCAAATAAGAAGAAATATTCCCTGGAAAGGGATAGTTCCAGAAGGCTAGGTGGAAGGGATCAAGAGATTGGGAGATCTCGGAGTCTGTCAGGGGCGAGGAAGTACAGCATATACATTATTGGGGCAGTGTTGAGAATAGATGCCTCAGAGTCTTATATTTGGGATAATGACTGTTGACATTAAGTAAAGGGAAATTGCTTACATTAGACTAAGACATGAGAGATGAAAGACATGGTGGATTTCAATTCAATGACGTTTATGATAAGAGTGAGCACTGGACCTAGTTCACTGAAAATCATTATTAATTATTAGAACATTTCCTCCTTTTTCCCATTGGTACATTTTCTCTTTATGTTTCTTTTGCAAACTGCTGATTCATTTCTTTGACAATTTCACATTGGTGTATTTCTCGCTTTTACCAATTTGTAAACGTTCGTTGTATAGTGAAAATATTTGCTCTTTCCACAGCAAAAAAAATGAATTTTGACTTAATTTTATGAGCTTTTTAGCACAAAAATTTAAAAAATACATACGACAAACTTTGTTCGCTTTTAACTCCATGGCTTCTGGTTTTGTTATGTGATAATTTTGAAATGTAAAATTTCTTCTACTGTTTGTTTACCTCTCCCTATAGCGATATGTTTTCTTTTATCCTTCCTCAGCATTCCAGTGGTTCAAAGTTAATACATAATTCTTGTGGTTGTTTTTCTCACACTTTGATTGGTTGCGATGAGATTTTTATCTGTATCACAATCATTTGTATTATGGTCTGTAAGGAAATCTCTGATTCTTGCTCTTTATGAGAGAAAGTACAACAAGGACAGGACTAGAGTATCATCTCTAAAATCCTATCTTTACATTTAGCTTCAGGTGTCTTTGCATGGCCTGACTAATATAGATCATATAGGCTGATACAGACTAATATAGTAGGCGAGTAGCTAATAAAGCTTTTTGAAAGAAGAATAAATAGCTTACATTCAAATTTCTGTACCTGCGGGAAGATGCATGGCGGATTTGTCAGGGTAAAGGGGACTAGAGCTACTTTGCTGTATGGGAAACACAGAAGCACTGCAACGGACGAACATAATTATTTCTCACTCATGTTAGTCTCCTGAAGTGAACACTCAAGTCGTTAAAGGGTTCTGCCCCACAAGGCCTTAGGGCCTTATCCTGTCGGTGTGGCTGAAGCTTGGAAGAAAGGGAAAAAAAAAACCAAGAAGTCGAGGGCAAGCAATTTTCCTTGACTTAAGCGAGGAGGCAGAGGTTGAACTCCTGTCCCGCTGACGAGAACTGAGGCGCCCGTCCGCACCTAGCTGTGAAGGAGGCGGAGAAATGTAATCTCCATAGGGGTTCTCCTGTGCGCAGGACAAAAGAACAGATCGGGGGGAGTCCAGCCAGCGGTCCACCCCATCTGGGGTGGTGTTGTGGCTCTGTCTACAAAAAGGCTGAAGGATGTACTAAGAATTTTTCCTGAATAGAAATTTTAGATTAAATGTGTTTACTTACTGTGTTTGCTTACTTTGAAAATGACCGTTTTTAAAAACCCGCAAAATCAAAAGGAAATGTCTGCATCTAGAGAAAGGATTTAAAGTTCTTGACACTTATATTCCCTCTTCCTTCTTTAAATTTCTCTTCAGATATACACTCAATGACAGAAACCTTGGCAGGATTGTCACCATAGCAGAACCTTTCAACACTGAATTACAGCTCTGGCAGGTATGAAGTCAAATCCCTCTAAACTTGTCCAGGAAGAACAGAATTAAACTTTTTTTTTTTTTTTCAAATGGAAATGGCATTTTCTCTATTCAGATCTCAGAGGACAAGGAGAAAGTAATAATTTTTATATCTAATTAAATGTAGACTTATTTTTTCCAAACTAAAACCAATTCAAATAACCAAGAAACAGAGTGTAAAAGTTGAGAAAGCTGAGGCCTTGAGAGGCATAGAAGGCCACCTGAGACCTTTCGGCTTACCAAAGCGTGGACAGTATGTTTCCCCTTCCTTCGTAATTGTAACTTGGAATAAGATGGTCAAGATTTGATTCCTTTCAAAATTCATAGTTTTGGAATTTAAAGATGTTTAGGTTTCAAATATCTCAGTTCCCAGAGGGCAAAATGTTTATTGGAAAATTGAGATTGTGTGAATTTTCAATGTCTGTATATTACCTATTGGAATGTTAACATTTCTTCTGAACAAAATAATTCTTATTTTTGTTAAGTGGCAAACAATACTATGATTGAGTTTGGGGGAAGGTTTTGGAAGGAAGACGAAAGAGAGAACCAAGATTAACAGAGATGTTATTATGAGGCCTTAATAAAGGGGCTGAAAGTGTGTTAAAATATTCCCAACCCCTGGAGTGAAAGGCTAAGCAAAGCCCGCATCCCACAGACTGGGTTTTCCAGGGAGCAGGCTGAGGAAGGCACAGGAAATAGAGAAGCAGCAGAAGCTCCGAGGGGCACGCAGCCGCTGGTGTACTGCTCTCCTCCCCCAAGAGGGCAGATCCTCTCTAGCCCTGACGTGCTGCCCAAGGTCCAAAAGCCACAGGCGATAACGGCCAATCTGAGAGACAGGCTCAGTCTAACTGATGCACCAGGACATGTAACTCAGTGCTGTGCGATGAGAATGGATTTCAAGGAAGAAGGAAACCAATCTAGCTTGTAAGAGAAGCCTTGAAGACTATTGGGCTGAAGATGACTTTCCTAATTATTGTCCTCTCTTTTCTAGATGGAGAGCTTTTTCAAAAAATACCCAGATGCTGGAGCAGGAGAAAAACCTAGGGCGCAAGTGCTGGAAACAGTGAAAAACAATATCGAGTGGTTAAGACAAAATAGAAACACCATAAGACAGTGGTTTTTGGATTTACCTTAAGAACGGTTGATGTGTCCAAATATCATATTTTAATTTTGTGAATCTATTGTTTCTCCTATTATAGCTTTGGTGGCCGAATTTATAAGCACGGTGGAGGGAAACTTATACGCAGATACTGCTTTTGCGAAGTAATGTGTTTCTGTGTCTTGCAAAGCTTTTAAATTGTTTATGAAGGAAGATACTAATAGAGTAGTTAATGCACTCAGGGATTTCTTCTAAGTGTACTTCATAGGAGATTCTTTGCAAACTACAGAGAATTTAATAGCCATTTTCATGTCTCTAACTATCATTCTTTGTATCTTAAATCTGTGAAAATAGAACAATTTGGTCTTAGCTTTACATTTTTAGTACCAAAGAAACACCCCTTAATCTTCTCTCTTGATTGAATTTTAAAGCTTAAATACCAGTACTTGAGGGACCAAAGTTACCATCTTAATATTTATTTTATTATTCAGAATTACACATATCTAATATCATTGTATTCACATGTGTCTTACTCCTTTAAATCCTACCAAAGTAACCCAGGTTTAAATTTTACTCAAGGATTGCATGAATTAACCAAAGAAATGGCTATTGCCTTCACTATAAAATCAACAAGAGAACTCTCTTCTCCTTTTTAAAGTAAATCTGAATGATTAACCTGAAGAAAATATGTTGTTTTCCAGTGTCACTTTACTCTCAAATAATAATGACTACAGCATTCCCCAAATAATTGAGCGTGAGGCAAATGCAGTTCAAGAACTTAGCCTTTTTCATGCTTGGTACTCTGTCGTCCTGTTCCATTCCCTACAAAGCTCCTTCAAATATGCTATGACATTAGAGGGAAGATAGTGCTTAACTTTGCTCCGTGGATTTTAGAGAAAAAAGGCTAAATAATTGGAGACTGGTCAGGAAAAAGAGAAGGCTGATTATTCCATAAAACTAAATGGAATTAGAATTTAGCTTTGATCTAACCTAGCAATCTAAGTGTGAAAATGAGGAAACCCATGTGTGTCTCCAGCATGACTCTGCATATCTGAGGATATATCTTCTTATAGATAACTTTTATGTATAAGCCCTTAGATCCTAATCCATACAGAATAGCACTGATCAAATTTATATTCGTGACTTGATTAAAGACATCAGTTTTGTAGAAGCTGGTGGCAAGAATATGTTTAATATGGCATTTGATGCCTAGTAGATCCACAATTTAAGTCCAATAGACAGCAAAGAAGGTAAATGACTATATTTCAGTCTGCTATATCTAGGAAATCTAAATTTATTTGGAACTTTCAGAAGTATAAAATAATTTAAGATTGATTTGATGATAATTGAAGCACATGAAAACAATCAAAATCTTAGCTTTGACTTTATCTACATAATAATGTGCCTTAATTAAATACTCTCAGACTTTGTAAACTTTCCTACTGCTATTTTTTTAATTATTGCTTCTCAACCTACACAGCTAAACTGACAAATTCAAAGCAGACTGGAGGGGAGGGATTTTAAAAAAAAGAAATTTCCAGACCAGAACTTTAAAAATATTATTTTAAATGACTTCAGAAGAAAAAGCACATTGACACCATAAATCATCAGGAAAGCCCTACTATCCTCATGAGGTTTAACACCCTAACTTCAAATTAATCACAATCAAAACCAGCACTTGAAGTCTATGTATTGTTTCAAGTCGACAAATAAGAAGGGTTTGTCCTGCTTTATGTAATAAACACATTTAAAAAAAAATATAAGTTTGAGGGGGATGGTAAATAAAACAATTCCAACTTGCCTCCAAGTCATTCTGTTTCATTCCATTTTAAGCACTAACCTGGAAAATGAATTGTTTAGTTCTCTTTGCATCACGTGCAAAAGAGCCGCGCACACTCTGTCATAATAACTTCACTAGTCCATCAGGCCCTTCTCAAACAGCATCTGCTTTTTAAAAGGCTGATGACCGATAGACCTATGCCGAAAACAATTTACTACTCTGCTTGCTTGGTTTGTCCTGATTTCCACAAGGGAGGAAAATTAGTATATTGTTTCCAAAATTAAACTGTAGTAAGCCATCAACTTTTAAAAATTAAATGGAAGAAATGATCAGCAAGGTCATGTAGCAAGGAGCAGGGCAGTGCAAGGAGCAGGGCAGTGTTATTGCCTTGGATCTAGGCAGTCTACTCCTGTATTCCAGATCATTGCCATGCACCCACATAAAAAAAAAAAAAGGAGCCATAAATAATGACAATAAAAGCATCTACTGTGTATTCGGTGATTATTATTTCCCATACATTCAGGCTTTACCTGCATTCTTGCATTTCATTCTCACAGCAACCCGTATCTATTATAGGGGCACCTGGGTGGCTTAGTCAGTTAAATGTCCAACTCTTGATTTTGGCTCATGTCATGATCTCAGATTCATGAGATCAAGCCCCATGTCGGGCTTTGTGCTGGGTGTGGAGCCTGCTTAAGATTTTCTCTCCCTCTCCCTCTCCCTCTCTTTCTCTTTCTCTCTCTCTCTCTCTCCCTCTCCCTTTTTCTCTCTCTCTTTCCCTTTCAAAAAAAAAAAAAGAAGAAAAAATATCTATTATATTACGTCTATTATATTGTTTCAGGTACCGGTTGGCCTAGATTCAGGAATGGATTTAGAAGACAGATGGAAGGGGGGAGCCTGGGAGGCCCAGTCAGTTAAGCGGCTGACTCTTGATCTCAGCTCAGGTCTTGCTCTCAGGGTTGTGAGATCAAGCTCCATGTTGGGTTCCATGCTGGGCATGGAGCCTACTTAAAAAAAAAAAAAATAGAAGACAACTGGAAGAAAAATTGAATCAGGGGATTAATGGATGGGGTGAAACACATGGGGCAAGGAGAATGTGGGAAGTCATTGACTAACTTCAGCAAATGACAATACTTTGACCTGATACTCCCCTGGAAAGCCTTTAAATACTATTTGCTACTTACCTGAATAAAATGTTTCTTTCCTAATGGCAATTTAGGTTGTCTGATTTGAATTGTATCTGACAATATGTTAGACGTTGTCTATTGTAACTGCGCTTCCATTTCTCACATCTTCTCTGTCCCCATTCTCCTGTATTGCCAAGCTGGGATGCCAAAAATGACACTTCCCTGGTTTTCACATGATTTAAGTTCTGCCAGTGATAAGCACTTCTATGAGACTTGAAAGAAAAGAGAGAAGAGAGGCTGTTCTTCCTTTTCAGGAGAGTGCAGGGGAAAGCAGTTTCTGGGGTAGATGTGAGTTGACAGCTTCTGAACTCATGTGTATTTGCCACCTCTATGGTGCAGGGAAGCTCTGATGAGACACTCATGGTTTACTCACTTCTGGATGATACTAGCAGTTTCTGATCTCTGGAGAAGAATGGTGGTGATATGCAACCTTGAAACCAGAAGCCTGGCACTAACCCTCTGACTTCTATTCTTCCTGCACTGTTAATGATGTGTAAGTGCCTAATGCCTTGTATTTGATCTTTTTCTGCTTAGTATATCTACAGTATTTTCTGAACTGACCCTTGAATGATACAAAGTGTAACTACAGATTTTGTTTGGGTTTATGTTTCCATTTTACCTTGTGCTCCTTTCCTGCCATTGTCCTTAGCATATAAAAAGCTCCAAGGGGTGCCTGGGTGGTTCAGTCGTTAAGCGTCTGCCTTCGGCTCAGGTCATGATCCCAGGGTCCTGGGATTGAGCCCCGCATCGGGCTCCCTGCTCAGCTGGGAGTCTGCTTCTCCCTCTCCCTCTCCCTCTCCCCCTGCTTGTGTTCCCTCTTTCGCTGTGTCTCTCTCTGTCAAATAAATAAATAAAAATTAAAAAAAAAAAAAAAAGCTCCAAGCTGGGTCTGTCTGTTGCTTGGCACAGACTGATGGACTGGATTGACCCTCAGAGAGTCCATTCCAGCCTCGATGAGTTTTAGAATATAGGAGAAATTATGAAAGGCAGCATTTGAGACAGATTGATATCTGTAATCAAGGAAAAAAATCTGGAGTTGTATGTTTTCCTTTTGTGTTGGGATACATAGGCATACTAGAATGCATCACTGATAAACCATCAAACTTGACTTCCCCAATTCCTCCAATATTAAACATGGAGTTACCAAATGATGTGGCAATTCCACTACTTGTAATATACCCAAGAGAATTGAAAATGTAAGTCCACACAAAAATTGATACATGAATATTCAAAGAATCATTCATAATAACCAAAAAGTGGAAATAATCCAAATGTCCAGCAGCTGATGAATGGATAAACAAAAGGTGGTATAGCCATACTTTAAAGAGGAATGAAGTAATATGATATATACCTTAACATGGATGAAACTTGAAAATATTATGCTAAGTGAGAGAAGCTAGTCATAATAAGCCACACATTGTATAATTCTATTTTTATGAAATGTCCTAAATAGGCAAATCTGTAGGGACAGAAAGTAGATTAAGTGGTTGCCAAGGGCTCAGGAAGAGGATATGGGAAGTGATTGCTAATGCTTTCTTTTTGAGATGATGAGAATGTTCTAAAATCAGATAATGGTGAAGCACCTGGCTGGCTCACTCAGTAGAGCATATGCAACTCTTACTTCCAGGGTCATGAGTTCAAACCCCATGTTGGGGGTGGGGCCTACTTAAAATTAAAAAATAAAATAAAATAAAATAATGGTTATGGTGGCACAAGTCTAAATACACTGAAAACCACTGAATTGTAATACTACTTTAAAAGGTTGAATTTTATGGTACATGAATTATATCTCAATAAAGCTATTACAAAAAAAGTTGTCTTCCCTTTTTGGAGTCTCACTAAGCTAAGTCACACAGTAGTATGGGCTCATGAGAAAGCCTTATATGCTCTGCAATAGACAGTGGGAATTTAGTGGCATAAACACCAAGTGCTTATGAAGTTTGTCTCCTTAAAATTGTTTCTACTTCCTGATTCGAGAATTTGCATTATTAATTCCAAAAGACCCGTATATTTTTATTCACAGATTAAGCTGTTTCTTAAATTGCATTTTTCGTCATCAGGATTCCATGTGATCTTGACATGGTGCCTCATTTCCCACATCTCCCACCCTTCCCACCATGGTGCCCCATCCCCATGTTGCTCAGGAGTGACCACTTGACCCAAGCAGAGCAAATTAATGTATTCTGGGGTTACGATATATGGATATTAGAGAAGTCCTCTTTCTCCTGGGGTTGCTGAGATAGAAGATTCCTGGGCTGTTCTTAGCCATCTTACTACCACATGGAGAGAAGCCAAGTGAAAATAGCAGAGCTACGAGAGGAAAGACACAGAATCCTGATGACATTATTTGAGCCCCTAAATCTGTCTGTACGTAGGCATCCCTTAGACCCCTTAGATCCCTTAGAAAAAAATGAACCTATAAATTTTCTCTATATTTAAACTAGTTTAAATTGAGTTTCTGTCACTTTCAATGAAAAGAACCCCGATACTATGTTCCCTCACATTCTCCCAAGAAAAATTATATAACTAGAGGAGAATGCTATGGAGAATACATTGTTAAGACTAATAGGAAGGGTCAACAATTGTTACTGGATGGAAGAAAGGAAGGAAAGAAGGAAGGAAGGGAGGGAGAGAGAGAAAAGAAAGGAAGAAGGGAAGGATAGAGAGAGGAAAGGAACACTTTAGTTGGAAAGGAAGGAAAAGTAAGAAAATTGTCATAATTATCATCACATATCAGCATGTAAATGGAAGAACTCTTCTAATTTGTTTTCTAATATTCCCATAGCATTTTTTCTCCATTTGAAAACTGAGATAGAAAAATAAAATAATAACCCTAATAACTGAGACCAATGTTATATTCATTATCATGAAAACAAAAGAAATCAATCATTAAATATCCAACGCCATGCGGAGAACAAGTAAAAGAACCATCTCTCCTCCGTGCAAATAAACTGAGAAGAGATACTGAGAAAAGAAACTAAACCACATGAAGAAGAAAAAAAATTGTTTAAAGAAGCAGGATAAAGCACATAGCCTATAAGATACATGTTTGTTAATTCAAGCATGTGTCATATTGTATTATGTGTTTTAAAATGCCTAGGGAGAATTTTAATTTTAGATATCAATTTATTTTTTTAAATTTTAAGTATGTTACTTTTCTATGAGAAGGAAAATGGTGGTCAATTGCAAAGCTTCATTCTATATCTTTGAATCCTTGCCCTTTTCTGTAATGATACATACTTGTCTAATGTGATCTTATAATCTAAGAAGGATAAAGTCCAGAAGTGGAAAATGAGGGCAACATATTTTTAGAGAATAACTCATAATGCTTTTATTTAAATTTTCTATACATGTAACGTACATAGTCAGTGTTCCTCTCAACCAAAGAGTTACTGTATTTTTCTCAGTCTAAAACTTACTTTCTCACATCAAAAATGATAATTATTAAAAGGGAATGCCCCTAACAGACATGCATAGAACATTCCACCCAACAACTATTTAGTCCACATTTTTCATAAGTGCACCCGCAACATTCTCCAAGACTGACCATGTGTTAGGACAGAAAACAAGCTTCAATAAATTTAGGAGAATTGAAATCATACAAAGTGTGGTCTCCAACAGAAAGTCAAAAACAAAAGGAAATTTGGGAAATTCATAAGTATGCAGGAATTAAACAGCACACTCCTAAATAACCAATGGATCAAAGGAGAAATCACAAAAGAAATCAAAAGATAGCTTGAGATGAATGAAAGCAAGATCACAACACACTAAAACTTATGGGATGCAACAAAAGCAGTTCTCAGAGAGAAATTCATAGCTGTGAACATTTATATTAAAGCCAAGAAAGCTTTCAAATCAATAACCTAAGGGTCCACTTTGAGAAACCAGAAAAAGAGGAGTAAATCAAAGCCACTAGAGGAAAGGAAATAGTAAAAATTATAGTAGTAATAAATGAAAGTGTTAAAATAAAAAAAATTAGAAAAATGAAGACCAGCCCTAAAAATTCCCTGAGCTGACAAAACCAGTTTACTCATACAAAGCTTAGGTTAGTTTATTTTGCCGGACTAACTTGACCTGGGTCATTTCTTTTTTTTTTTTTTTAAAGATTTTATTTATTTATTTGAGAGAGAGAATGAGAGAGAGCACATGAGAGGGGGGAGGGTCAGAGGGAGAAGCAGACTCCCTGCTCAGCAGGGAGCCTGATGTGGGACTCGACCCCGGGACTCCAGGATCATGACCTGAGCCTAAGGCAGTCGCTTAACCAACTGAGCCACCCAGGCGCCCTTGACCTGGGTCATTTCTTATGTATACCTCTGAAAATCATGAAAAGCAAAATGTCAATTGCTTCCCAAAGTTGATATGAGGTAACCCCTGACCAATTCCCTATCACTTAAGAAAATTCTAATATAATCAATGACGGTGAAGAATCAATAGTCACTGTGTTCTCACTATGTAAGCTGCTGTGCTCTTGAGTCTCGCTCCATGTTTTGGTTTGAGTGCTCCTGGTTTGCAAACTGTCTTTTTGATGCGTGCACATTTTACTAATTACTACTTTGGTAATTCATTGGTTTTACTTCTGTTATTTATGAATTTTGGACATTTCATGGCATCAGAAGTGGGATCCAAAGAAGATCCCGAATGACTCCAAGGCCAGCGAGCAAACAGGTGCTGGTATCCACAGAGCCCATTGAGCTTTCACTGCTTTCTCACCAACCCTGGAATTTGAGGATCTCTCTTGGTTCTGAGCTCTGTTCTCTCTGCATTTTGAGCTCTCCAGCTTTATTGTGCATACCTATATTTTGTTTATTGAAGCTTCTTGGTACGTCCAATTTGTTCAAAAAGGTGTTTAAAACATGTGATTCCATGTGTTTTAGAACAGTTGTTAAAAAACAGAGCCGCTCTTAGTTAAAAGGTCTTAGGGAATCCAAAGGCAAAGTTGGGTTCCACCTAGTCTACAGACCAGGATCTTGTGCCTTTCTGGAAAATGGGTGAACTTTTGGAATTGTAGGGGCCACTTTGGGGAATCTTTAACTTAGGGAAGTCCACCTTAAGGGGCACCCTTAAAAGAGAGAATTCCAAACCTTTCAGAGACAATGGAATGCATTCTTTGATTAGTATGCAGAAACTTCTAAAAGACAAATTTCAAAAAACAGCTCTAAAAGAATCCTTATAGCATGCAAATAAAAAATCTTTAGTAAAAACTCTTGGCCATCTGAGCATAACCTTAATTTAGTCCATCTGCCAGAAACACAATTTGGATCCGACTGTTGAGTTTCGTATGTGAGACATGGCTAAAATTTTTCAAACAAAAGCTCTATCCGTGTCCATCTATATGTTTATGTATGTCTATGTATGTATGTTACAGATATGTGATATTTTTCTACTTCTGAATAGTATTGCCAAAATTAATTTGTAAAGAGCTCTATTTAATTGGCTTAAAGAAAATTAAGCATTTATATAAATCATGTACACTCTCAGAAACATAGAAACTAACCCAAATGTTTTTCAAGTTCACATGATCTGGGATAATCTTTGATAAATAAAAGCTAGTTTAAGTTTGTTGGTTTAATAAAAACAAGGATGTGTTCAGAGTTGTCAATATTAAAATGTAATGCAAACATACAACTTTTTCTGCCTGTGTTTAGGAATCAAATAAGCTCATCCTACTTGTATATCTTCAAAATTTGTCAACAAGAAAAATAACTTAAGATAAAGGTTAACTGTTTAATGTCTAATCCAAGCATAATTGTTAAAGCAATTAATTTAAATAAATGTAAATAAGGTAAAAATTTATATTAAGTCAAACTAAATAATGGATACTCATTGCATATTTAAATCATTTCAAATAAGATAAACATTAAATGCTAAACATAAGTTTATCTACGTCTGGCTTTTAAATTTTTTCAGGGAGACAAAAGATATTTGGGTCTATTAATAAACATATTTTGTACCACACTGAAAAATTTACTATAAGGAAGAATATACTTTTAGAAATTATGAAATATATTTATAAATTTTCCAGTTCACAGTTGCCTACCCACTTTCTTTATATGGTTACTTTCTTTCACCTTTATTATTTCTAGTAGCTTCCTTTCCCACTTGGTATAATGTTATCAGTCATAATTCTAATCATTATCTTAAAGTATATTGTATGTCCCAAAAATAACCAAATTTACTTATCAATTGCATCATTTTTTGTGTGTATATGTATGTGAACTCTCACCAGATCTTTAACCGTGGCCATTTTTAAGTCTTTTGTCATTTACAGACAGTTATTGTTTTACACTGATGTTTTTGCAAAAGTGTTCCTGCAAAAGTGCTTTATCTTTAAAGAGAATCATAGAAAAGACACTGACAGGTACTCTAAAATGCAGGTTTCTGATAACTTCAAGATTGTAACACTGAAACTGGGTAAGAATTTTTTTTAAGCTATTTTTATTTATTCACTTGAGAGAGAAAGAGAGCACTCAAACTAGTGCATGAGCAGGAGATTGAGGGAGGGGGAGGGGCAGAGGAAGAGGCAGACTCCCGGCTGACTAGGGAACCCGCTGTGGGGCTGGATCCCAGGACCCCCAGATGAGGACCTGAGCCAAAGGCAGACGTTTAACTGACCAGGCACCACCCAGGCGCCCCTGGGTAAGAATTTCTAAAACTTTAATGGAAAACCAGTTGTTTCATAAAGCTGCTAACCCAAGATCAAACAAAACAATAGCACCAAATGAACTGAAAAGATAATTATAATTTTTATGACTTTATTTAAAACATTACTAATTCTTTAATG